TTTTTGAATATTTAAAATAAATATTTCTTAACGAGAAAATATTAAATGGCTATCTAACCTGTAAAAACTTTTGTTTTAGATTGTTTTTCTTAATTCTTCTTTTTATTTTACCTCTTCCACTAGTATTTCAATTTTTTTGTTAGTATCTTAGTGTATTCCTTATTCGTTTTAGGAGTTTATAGCTTTATTCCTAAATTGCAAAAAATTTTCATATTTATAGTTGTATGCCTTGTGGTTCTCGAATTTAACGCTCGGAACGTGCATTGAAATGTTTATAACTGTAAAACTTGCGCCACGCGTTCTTCCATCAGCACCACCCCCTACCTCCTGGATGCCACCACCCCCTTGCCCTTCGGCCAAAATCCCACCACCCGCCCCCCACAAACCCCCCGTTGTCAGGACATTTTTGGCACAAAACTGCGGGACGCATACGGAATGTGCGAAAAATTCTTAGCCAGCTTTTGCCTTCTATCTCTCATTTACTGGCTCAGTGTGGGCTTAATTTTTATAACATTTTTATGTGCCACCACCCCCCCACCCCCCTTTTTGGGGGAAGTTAACCTCTCAGTTACCCCCTACCCCACCTTTTTTTTTTTTTTGGTCTACCCGCGGCGCTCTTAAGTGAATAATAAATTAATTGAATCGCCACGCGGCCCATTTTTAGATGGCCTTTATAGGGTGGGGGGGTGGCTATTCGCACAGAATGTGAAATAGGAAATAGCAACCCCCCTTTGGAAAATTTTCTATGGCCCATTCGTAAAGTTTTATGTTAATAGCCTCGCTTGGAGCTCAGTTTTTATCACTTTAGTTCCACTACACCACCACCCCCCCCTTTGAGAGAAAAATACAAAGTACTGAACACATACCCACCCTTGGGGCATGGGGCATAAAACTCGACGCAATTAGCAAACTAATCAAAGTCAGATAGATGGATAGATAGATAGACTATCTAAATGCCTAATTAAAGTGTAAATTTCGTGCCATCTTCGAGGAGATTTGCCGAGAACGCCCCGTCCTTCTGCCACGCCCCTGGTGCATCAATGACACTTAATTAGAAAACAGCTGACAAGGGGGGGTATCTATCTATCAGATACGAATACTCGCTCTTTGGTGTGTTTGCCTTTGGCCTTTCTGTGTTTGGCTTTGGCCAATGCTTTTAATTAAGCCCGGCGAAGAAAAAGAAAACAACAACAATGAAAGTTTATTTTTATGGCCACACAGATACACACACACACACACACACACATATAGATAGAGAATAGCACAAGATATACAGATACACCCACATGGCATAATGGCCAACTACTTTCAGCTCAAAATCCATTTTGGCCAAAAAGACAACAGTGCGGAATATGAATAAATGAATTAAGACCTCAAGGGAATACAGAATAAAGAATAGAAAATAGAGAAACAATGAAATAGAGTATAGAACCTAGAACACAGAGTGCAAAGATACCACGAGATACGAAAACTTTTCTTTTTATTACAAAGTTTCAAAGGATTGGGAATGGAATTCGAGAGCGATATTGTGTTAATGATGATGCTGATGATGATGACGTTGGCAAAAACAAAAGCCACAACAAATGAAATACTAATAGATTGCTTTCTGTTATTCCCCGGAATCTCAGATATGCAAGTATCTTACAAATGGCAAAGTATCCTCAAAGAAGTTCTGGGATAATTGCTTAGAACTTTTGGAAAACTAAAGGAGCGATAAATGAAAGCTTTGAAGGAAAAAGTTTTTCTAAAATTAAAAAAAAAAAATTGATTTAAGCTTAAAAAACTTATCCAACAATCTTTAAGATATTTATTTAAATTTTCTTAAAAAAATTGCTTAAATAATTTCTTAGAACCTTTAAGAAACATAAGAAGTGGTTGGTTTAATGTTGCGAGTCAATTACATAGATAAATGCCTGCTTTTAAGAAACGCTTTGAAGAAATTATTAAAAAGAAAACTTAAAATCTTAAAAACCATAGGACATATGGTATATTTTTTAAATAGCGTTTTTTAAAAGTATATCTAGCCCCAAAATAAAACCCAACATTTCAAACCCTTTCAAGTACTCTTTATTTCCAAAACCCTTTCTCAGTACATGCCCCCTGATATGCTCCATTTCATATCCCATTTCTTTTTTTTTTCCATGTTAATGCTTTTTATTTATATTTTTTTTTTTTATTTTTTAAAAATTGGTCTGGCGTTTTTGGCCACTTGACCCGCCTTGCCCGACCGTCCCGCCCTGGCCGCGATTATTCGTGTGAAATGTAGAGTGCGAGGAAGGCACGTACTGAAACAGAAAAGCCGATAAACATTCATAGCCCGGCCGAGAGATGTGCGAACAAAATATTGTATATATCATATATTGTATATAGCATATATAGCCCGTATTGAGGGTATAATAATTTCACACCGAACACTCGCACGACCGATATACGGCTGTACGGCTGTACGGTTTCGTGCTCCTCGATCCGGGCATTATGTATCGCCCGTTATAAAGTGTTATTAATATAATGCTCAATGCTCGCCGACAAAACGTCCGATTCGATTGTGCAATCGCAACGAATACCCCCCTTGTATATCCAGTCCCCCGACCCGACACGGCCCGGGGTTCATAATTCATTCAATTTCGATTTGCATTCGCTGGCTCGACTAATAGCATGCAAATGGAACGGGAATCCAAAATCGGAATCGGAATCGAAATCGTTAGTATGGAATGCTCGCATTACTGACTCATCGATCAGTCACACTTTTAAGTCGAATATTTTTCGGTTGTGGCGACGTGACCGAAGCAAATACACCTATAAATTGTAATATTGATATTGCCAAACAATATTTGCATGAATCAGTTAAAATGTCAAGCGGTTATTTAAAATATAAGGTTAATAAATCGATAACGGGAGTTGCAGAAATCGATTAAAATCACGATGTTTTAGATCAAACGATATATTTTTAAAAGCTTTGGTTAAAGTCTAAGCGATAACTATCGTTAAAACTATATCTGGAGAACTATCGATTAAATAATAAACTGATTATATAACAATTAACAAAGTTTTAAATAAATCGATTAATGATTCAATTAGAGACACTAAACCTTAACATTTCTATTATTTTTATTTTAATTTCCATAAAAAAAATACCAACTAATTGAATATTTAATTGATAAATTCTTTAGTAGTTTGCCGATAAGTGTCTCGATAACCCAAGTTTCTGGCTTCTTTTTTGCTACTTTGATTTTTTTATGTAGCCGGCACCTCGATCGCATATTCATGGTGAGGCACCCCAGTGATCTTGCCATATACATTTTCTATAGATATAAGTTCAAACCAATACGTATATCGGTTGTGCAAGCTTCTGTTCTGTGTGTTTTCCCCATCTCCAACGATCGACTGATCGATCGCATGATCGGCAAAAAAAAATATAAAAAAAACTCGCACACTTGAGGGCAATTCACATGCCGGCCACAAATCAGCCGCAAATGACTTTATTTCCAACTGAGGAATGTCAAATGTGGCAAGTGCAGTTTATAAAAAAAAAAAAAAGATCGAAGAGTGGAAGCTATCCTGCTGATATCTATTAAGAAAAGCTTAAAGATTCTTTCTTAAAAGATATGTGTTTAATTTAAAGTTGAAAAAGCTATCAGATGGCATTGCTTTGCCCTGACACCAAATGTTCTCGAGGAGGCCACGCATGCGCCGTTTGCTTTTTCGCTTTAGACGTTTGACGTCCACCGCATTTGGTCAAAATGAGCTCAAAGCGCTACAAAGTCCGGCCCGGGTCCGGGCCCGATGTTAACTTGGCCAAAACGCAGCGATTTGTGTGCCAGACGAATGTCAAAAGTGATTTTCGTTGCAATAGCAGCCTCAGAAACATCAAAGGCAGCCCCAGGCCTTAAAAGCTCTCATAACAAAAGCAAAAACCCCAAAGCCTCCAATCCTAAATCCTCTCCACCCCCCCAGTAGCACAAACAAATCCAACAAAATCCAAAAAAAAATAAAAATAAAATAAAATAAAGAAACATGCGAAAGTCATAAATCATAATTCTTTATTCTGCCTTCAGTTTTTGGCTTTTTTCGTTGTTTCCCGAATATGGGGGTTATTACAGGGTTAAAGGGGGAGGGGACGCTGAGCACTAAAACTTATAGAGCATGTCACTAACACAGTGCCAGGAATACAGAAATATATATGTATGTATAAAGCAAAATATATAGCCAACACTTCTGGGCCATATGATAAATGGTCAGAAAAGCACCACAAAACCAAAATGAGATTTTTGTGTTCTGTTTTTCGGCTTTTGAAGTTTGACAGCCTCAATTTGCATTTTGAGTAAAAATTGTAGCCATACCCCCCCTCCTTCCTTCTGACAACAACAAAAAAACCACATAAACTCACCCCTTTCTGGCCCTCTTCTGGCCACAAATCTTTCAAGCTAAGGAATTTCAATAAAATTAAGTGGAGTTTTTATTTTACTACTGTTCTTGTTTTGGTTTTTTCATAGACTAGGGAATACCCTAGTTTTCTTATAAAAATTCTTAGGAATTCACAGATGATTGCCTTCAATTGCATTTCAATTCCGTTTCAATTGCAGTTTCTCCTTCTGTTCACCTTCACCTCGTTGAACCCCTCAGAGGAATGTGATCTTTTTTTTTCACCCACTATTTTTTTAAATTTTTAATATGGAAAGTGTGCCTGGTCTCAATTAAACGATTAATGATTTAATTGAAGATACAAAAAAAAAAGAATGCTTGATTGAAAGCTTGAATGACTTGGTGCGTGATCAATCACGATATCGTGAGCGTGATTTGTGAGCTTTTGGATCGCGTGACACGCGCATCTTGAAAGCCGACTTCGACTTACATAAATCAATTTAGTCGAGTTTATTTTATAATTTAATTGCTTTTGTTTACGTTGACATGGGCCATTCGTACATGACTCGCCCTCTCTCTTTCTATACAGCTATATCCCTCTCTTTCCTATATACTCATACACTCTCTCTCTCTTGCAGATTCGCTGCCGATGTGAAGCGAGGTGCCGGCTGTTTCAACGTTCAACGCATTCGCTCGGCCCCCGCGATCTGAGCAACAACACACACTAAAAAATAAAAAATTAAAATAATAATAATAAAAATAAATCTTAATCGATGGATCGGCCATATACCCAAACCCCAGAGATCCAAAACTTGACGATAAAAAAATCCTAGAGCAGAGAAACAAACAAAAAAATTTGTGATAAAAACAATAAAGTGAAAACAAAGTAAAGTGTGTGCCTCCGATATAATAAAAATCGGGTCTTAAAGCCCAAAACTATATACAACAAATATATAAAATATTAAATATTTATATAATTATATACCTATATATTATACATGAGAACTTGTTGAGCAGTAACCGTTCCAATACAACAAGTGCAACGCGTAGGCCTTCAACTGTGATTTAAAAATTAAAAATTTATAAAAAAAAAAACACAACACAACACGAAAAGAAAGAAATCAAATAACCAAGTTATACTATTTTTAGTTTTTGTGTTTAGTTTTATTTTCATTTTTTTATTAATATATATTTTCGATAAAATCGATTAAAGCGATAACTATAATATCGATAGCCATGTTCAACTCAAACATACCGGCTGCCTCGCTGCTCAGCATCGATAGCAATGGCTTCGGTCTGGGCGGCCATACGCCCAAGACCCCCGAAATCGTCAACTCCCTGATCGCGATGACGAATCCCCTGGACAGCTTCAACTATGGAGCCGGTGTAGCGGTTGCCGTTTCAGCGGCCGTGGCATCCGTGTCCGCCGTCTCGGTGGCATCCTCGGCCTCCTGCAGTGCCGCCTCCACACCAGGGGTTACGGTACGCAACTTCAACGGCCATCCCAATGGACAGGTGAGATGCCTAATGCCGAGAGCTGATCTCGGAGCAGCCAACTGGGCGTATACTTAATGTGCGTATACTTGATTTTTGTCGTTGCAGTCGCACTCGCAGGACAGCAGTCATTCCAGTTGCTCCGGATCGCCGCTCGACTCACCAGCGGGCACGGCCACCACTCCCAGTGTGCAACAGGTAATTAAAAAATAATGTTTTTTTTTTATAAATTTTTTAAGATTTTTTTTAAAGATATTTTAAGACACAAAATGAGGCATTATCAAGATTACAAGTCAAGCTTGGGTTTCTTTAAGAGAACTACTCCTCAAAGATAAATAATAACTTTATGGTTTAAAAATTGCCTAAAAAATAAAATATAATCGATATATATTTAGTTTAGAGTGCTTCTATCCATCAATAGTCCATTAAAAGCCTTTTGCTTTGAAGAAGACTTTTGAAATATTAATTGAAATCGTAATATTGTAATGCCGAAGTGTATAGAAAGTGACCAAGATCGAAGAGGCCATATAGCCGTCAGTGGGTGGGAAATTTATGGGAAATTTGTTGGAAAACAAATTGAAAAAAAGAAGAAAAAAAGTGCACCGCGAGCGGCACCCCTTTCGACAATTAAAAACTTGCAGTCGACCGCCGCCCTCACCGCCCGCCCAATGACTATAAATTCGTTTCAAGTAATAATCATAAATCACAAAAAAAAAACAAAAAAAAAAATACAAAATTTAACAAACACCTGGCAATTACTGGGAAAGTATTCATGTATCTGAGGGATGCGTTAGCCAGAGAATCTTTAGACGGCCTCTAATTTGTCGAGTGAATATGAATTAATCGCTGAAGTTCAAAACACCAAGCATTCAACACCAACAGCGGCAGCAGCAGCAGCAGCAGTTACGTGCCTCATTAAGGCCAATGTCAGTCAGCCAGTCAGTCAAGAGTGATTCTGCCACACTCACCCCGCCTTCACAAAATACGTCTCTGTCTCAGATGCAGATACAGATACGAATGCACTTACAGATATAGTAGATACAGATACTCGAACGCAGTGTCGGCCAAAAAAAAAAAAAAAATCAATTCTTGTTGCGTCTCGCAATTGACGCCTACATGGTTGAGGCGACGCCACCAGAAGCTCACGTCGCAGGCGGACAAAGTGCCGGACAAGCGGACACCGGACAACCGGACAGATGGACCGACGGACACTTGGTCATTGCGTGGGTTGACATTTTTTTTTTTATTAAATTTTTTTTTGCACGGCGCACGTCGTGCAGAGCGTGGGTGAAACACCACACAGTCATGGGGGGAATGAATGAATGAAAAACTGGCTAAATTAAGGCGGCCAGATTGAAGCCAGATTGAAACTGCAAGTGTCTTCTAGAGTTTCTCGACCGTAACTTCTTAGAAAGATCCCCTTTCATGACCTTTTCAAATGAACTCCAAAAAGGGTTTCCTGTAAATGTTTCACTTTGTTTAACAAATATTTGCCCAAATGTTGGAAAGACTTAATATTTTATAAAAAAGTGCAAATAAAACCGGCAAACAAGCCAAACAGGCCCCAAAAAAAATGCAAATTGGTCAGCCCAAATATGAGAAAAAATTTAACTCTTTATGTTTTTTTATGCATTTTCGTATGAATTTTACGATGTGAATTGTAAAGAAAGGCTTGTCAGGCAACCTAAACTTGCAACCTGTGAGTGTGTTCCCATTTTACGCTGCCATTGCCATCGCCATCGCTAAAGATATTGCACAATTTTCCGCCAGAAGTTTCCAAATCCAGCCAGTTTCATTTCAACTTCATGTCTACAAAGACCATATGGTCATGTATTTTCTCGTATTCGGCTCCAATTTGGCCAATTCAACATGCGATTATTATGATTTTTTGAATTTTTTTCTTCTTCTCTTGTCGCTTTTTTAAACAAAATTTATTTATCTGATTTCTGGGTCAATAAATAAAGCAAGCGCATCGTGCCTAAAATTCAAATGAAACCCATGGCCTGGCGATGCCCCAAAATCCAAAAAAAAAAAAACAAAATATTAAACAGAAGGGCGCGTTCAATCAGAAATGGGGAGGGGTCTGTGGGTCTGTGCGATTTGATACCTCCGTCCACTGTCCACCGTCCTCTGTCCTCTGTCCCATTGGCATCCCAACAATTTCTCAAGCAGACAATAAACAAAATGCGAAAAAAAATGCCAGTCGATTCGGTCTTAACGACTCTTTAATGAGCTGCCGATCAAAAATGGGCTAATTGAATGGCTTTAACAAGACAATTATGACAAGTTGCAGCAGTTTTGGGTTTTTGGTTTATGGTTGAGTTTGAAGTGGGTTTGTTTTTTGTAATTTTATTAAAATTATTAAGAGTTATCACTCTTTTAAATTTAGTTTTTGAATTTTTAACTCATTTATTGCGAATTTTTACTTTCAAGTTAGTTTCCATTTATTATTTCTTTGCTTTTTAAATGAAAAAAGTATCTCCTATTTTTTTCTGATTTATTTTCCGAGTAATGGCCTCCATTTAGGGCATCCAGCAAGTCCCTATAGCCTGCACCAATTCGCTGTCAATCAACAATTGTTGAACGAAAGTTGACAATGTGCCGAATGAAGACCATCTGTTCCTGCTTCAAGCTCCATAAATGGAGCTCAGGCCCAGTGCAACTTACTCTCGAGGTTGTCTCTTTTTTTATGTTTTATATACAGTATTTTTTTTTATTTTTTATTTTTTATGCTGCCCACCCACTGCTACTAAAATGCACTTGTCAGTAACAGAGAGAGAGTGAAACATGTTTTATTTTGGTTGATTTTCGGGCGTGTCTTGGCCAGATTTCTATCTGTTTTTTTGTGCGGCTTTAATATTTATAATTCATGCAAAGCTCTCCAGAGTCTCCCCAAACCAAAAAAATCCCAGCCCAAGCCCAAGCCCAGTACCCAACCCTAAGTTAAAATGCGAAAAAATAAATAAATAAACAAAGTTGAAAATGCCGCCGGAGATAATCTCTCCCTTGCCCGCAAAGAAATCGGGTCGCGATTCGTCATAATATCTCTACCTTTCAGGTAAACAAACCTTAAACTTTCCACAAAACAAAAAAATACATTTTATTTTTATTTTTTTTATATATTTAATGTTTTTCTGGAAGATTTGGGTTACAAATCAGAAACTGCAGAAACTGTCTTGGCCAACTTGGGGGGGACTTGCCATCTTTGGCAGAGGTTTTTGGTTTGGCCGTTTTTGGTAATTGGTGACAAACGACTTTTGGCTCGAAGGACGTCTGACAAGTAACAGATAAATGCCTAAAATAATTAAGACTTAGGGGGTAACATTTTAAAACCTGACTAAAATATATATATATTTCTTTTAAAATTCTTTCCAGACCTGCTCGCAACTGATCAAGGAGGGCTTGAAACTTTCCATCCAAAGCAAACGCAAGCTATCCACCTGCGACTCCAGCTCCGGCTCGGAGCAGCCACACTCCAAATACTCCAGGAGGAGCAGCAGCAACAACAACAACATGAGCAGCAGCAACAACTACAGCGGCAACATGAGCAACAACAACGACGATGATTGCGAGGAGTCGAGCGACGAGGACAGTGAAACGAAGTCCCAGCCCAAGGGTTTGACGCCGGAGGACGAGGATCGGAGGAGGAGGCGCCGCGAAAGGAACAAAATTGCGGCCACCAAGTGCCGGATGAAGAAGCGAGAGCGCACCCAGAATCTGATCAGGGAATCCGAGGTCCTGGACACTCAGAATGTCGACCTGAAGAGTCAGGTGCGTTTGCTGGAAACGGAACGGAGGAAACTGATGGGCATGTTGCAATCGCATGGGTGTCTCCGGTCGGGGGGTTGCATTCTACCCAGCCACCTGCTGCAGTCCCCGGCCCATAAGTACCTGCCCGAACTGGAGCTGGAACTGGGTAACGGCGATCAGGTGAACGGCAGCAATAGCAACAGTCAGCAGCAGCAGCAGCAACAACAGCAGCGGGTGCAGAGTATACCCTCGATGGCGACATTTAAGTTTGGTTCCAAAACGGCAGCCGCCATGGCCCAACAATTGCCGAATGGATATTGCAAGCCCTCACCGAGTGCCCAGGAGTTCGAGCATGCCGGCTACCAGCAACAGCAACAGTCCACCAGCAGCAACAGCAATACCAGCAGCAACAGCAGCACCAACAGTCTACTGGATCATCAGCAATCGAATCCCAGTCCGGGTCTAATCTCTGACTATGTACCGAATTGTGATGGCCTGAACAACAACAGCAACAACACCACCAATAATAGCACCAGCAACAGCAGTAATCCCAACTCTGCCAGCAACAACACCAGCCAAGCCAGCCAGCAACACCAGCAACAGCAGGTGCAGCAGCAACACCAGCAGCAACAAACCAACAACACCAGCAACAATAGCAGCGCCATTGAGTTTGTGAAGAACGAGCTGGTGGACTCGCAGAGCCCCTACACCACCGCCCTGAGTGCCGAGAGGTTCCTGTTCGAGCCGAGTGACGGTTTCCCGGACATTAAGCACGCTGTCAGTGTCCTGCCCTCACCATGCGGCATCAATGGCCTCAACATGGCCTCCGTGGTGCATAACAGCACCAATGGCAACAACAATATTGCCGGCAATAACAATAACAACAACAATCACATGGTCGACTTCCATCAGGGCCTGCAACACAGCAACATCGGTGTCGGAGTGGGAGTGGGAGTGGGTGTAGGTGTGATGACACCGTGCTACGATGACGAGCAGGTGCTGTTGCTGAAGAACAGTTGCTACAACAACGATCTGCTGTCCCAGATGCTGGAAGATAGCGAATATGTGGACTTGGACTCGGCCACCGCTTTCATGACGAACGGCGGTTGTTTGGCGTGAGGAAGGGTGCCGGAGGATAGGGAGCACGAACGAGAGCGAGACTTATCTGGCGACCGTGACATACTGCTCCCAACCTTCAATCAGCAGCAGTCCGCACCCACCCTTCCGAATTCCAATTCCCATACAAGCACTATACCATCACATAACACCACCACCACCACCGATTCCCAGGTGGAACTCGAACTGGAGATGGAGTTGCAGCTTGGCGAGGAGCAGGATCCGGCCTGGACCCATGTAGACTATTGGTGTTAGGCCCAGCACACTCTACTAATCACCATCCTAACCGCCATTCATCGACTCGGTCTAGATCAGAGGGAGAGTAGAAATTAGAGAAAGAAACTAAAGAAGTCGCAGCTTGCTGGTCCTTGTCCACCCCCGCCCCATTCTAAGAGCCAAACTTATCCCAGATAAAAATAATCCTGCTATATCCCAATCCAAGTTCTTCCAACAGCAGAGTTCCCTACCACCCCCCACCCCCAAAACATGACCACTCGAATATTATCCAGAAAAACCCTGATCCCCATGATCCAATCCCCCCCAGGACCGCCTGGAGCGGCATCCAGCCTGTGGCTTGACTACCTCATGAAAGCAAAAGCAGAAACAATTAACAAATAACTATCATTAAATGGTTTTTTTTTTATTATTATTATTATTATTATTATTATAATATTGTGTAACATTTAAAGTTTTGTAAAAAAAAAAAAGGAAACAGATAGCACAGAAGCACACTCACACGCAGAGATAAGCACTTGCACAATTGTACATAACCCAACTTTTTGATACGATACCTAGATATATCGATAACATTCCATTGCAAGCTTGTGCGAAAGAGCTAGAGAGATAGAAAAAGAGAGAGAGAGAGAGTGCAGTTATCAACTGCTAGCAGTCACATCCGCATCAGTAATTATTAATTTTAATTTGTTCGATTCTTTTCGTATGCGTATTTTTGTTTTTGCTCTTTTGCTCCCAACGAAGCCTTAAATTACGATAACGATAAACGATGACTATATGCTTATTATGTGTTAAAAAAAAATAAAATCGCGAGAGATTAGTAGGAGAAGAGAGAGAGAGAAATTCAAGTTGAGAATTCGAAGCAGGAAGCCGGATATATGATGACGTTTGATATTTTTTTGTAATCCTAGGCTTAGTCAGTGATAAACCCTATATATACTATATATGAACCGTATCTTTAAACAACAAAAAAAACAAATACATGTATGAATTTTTGTTTTTTTTTTTCGTGTCCATTATTTTGTAAGCTTATTTTGTAAGTTTAAAAAGATGATCGATAAAAAAAAATTGTGTAAGATGTTGCCTTAATCAAAAATGAAAAACGACAAAAAAAAATTACAAAAAAACTTTAAAATTGACAACTAAAACTAGATTACTAATCTACACTTTGTTAATTCTTTTGGTAAACTAATCTACAACACAAAACAACAAAAAAATACAAAAAACAACGACAAGAAATAATTAAATATTATTACTATATACACCAGAGATATATATATATAGTGTATGTATTGGTGGAATCGAAGACCTTAAAGTGCTACTAAAAAAAAACGCAAAAAAAAAAAACATTGTAACTTTGCAACTCCTTTCAACTTGCGCCTTATTACAGTTTAACGAAGAACAACTTTTGTAATTTATATATATTATATATTATACATATGGTAGGAGAAGTCGTGGATTATATATACAACAATCGTGTACTAAAAACAAAAAAAGTCTTTATATTTGTGTGTGTGTCTATTGCTTGATCAGCGAGTTGAAGCAGAGTTCATTTATATATATATATATATATATATATATATATACGGATATAACATTATATATATGTATACAAAAATTTGTGTGTATAAGCAGCTGTGAACACCAAAAAGTGGCCTAAAGGAGCATCCCCCAAACCAACAAAAATTAAAAACCACAAAAAAAAATAAGTGCTTTGAAAATTGTTTCGTAATTGTAATTGCCTCGAGTTGTACTAAAGAGTTAACCAACCATCGATAACGATAACGATAAATTATATTTGATCAAATTAAATCTATGTAATGGAAATAATGCCCACGCAAGAATCCAATCTATTTATAACACCCATATATGAGCACCGCCTTTCGCTAGAGTTACCAAGTCTACCATAATGTTATGTCACCCACGCCCACAAAGAACCACTACCCCCCCTCACAAGAAAATGCCTGCCTATCTGCCCTGAATAGGATTGTTAAGCATATATGCAAAAAACAAAAAATTATTATAAAACCCACAAAGATAAATGATTAATTACAAAAAAAAATGTATTGAGCATACCTTAAGCAAAGTTTACCTCATACACACAAAGGGCAACCCTGTTCCTTTCCTCGCCGACAAATTGATATTATTTTCAGCTTCCAACCAAAAAACAAAAAAAAAGTTATAAATAAAAATACAAAAAAGAAAGAACTTTAAAAAGTTTCAAACACTCAGGTCAGGCGAGTTGAGGAACAATCAGGGTTGCCACCACCACATTCGATGTTAAATGTAATTCGTAACTGTAAATGTTAACTGTAAACCGTAACTGTAAATGGCAAAATGCAATCAAATCCATGTTAACACCCTCGGAACCGAGGGACGAAAGGAAACTTCTTCGCTTGTAAATTTTTTGTTTATTATTTTTCTTCCTTGTATAATCAATATTTTTTGACGATTTGTTTTGTTTTCTTTTCGATTAATATTCTCTAATATATATATATCTATATAATATATGGCCTAAAAGAAAGTGTTGAGTTTTGAGTTTGGGGTCGTTTTTGGGGATAGCTTCTGCCTGCAGCTGAAGGGCGGATTAAAAAATTCATATAAAATAGAAGTCATCGTAGCAGTAGATCGAAATCATCGGAAAAACACCACCACTCGCTCTCATTCTAGCTGGAAAAATAAATTTCTTTAGTGGCGCATCTGCATTTTTCATCATCTAACCTCTGACCTATGACCTGTGACCCCCGACCTTGGACCTGATACTGGACCCTCATCCTTAGATTTTAGTTAAATAGGCTATACTATACAAGAACAAGAAAAAAATCAAGAACTTGAAAACACACAAAATGCGCTACAAAAGTACCTGGACAAAAGTAACGATAAACGATTACCGATCAACGATAACGATAAATCAATGTTGATTAATGTTTAAAAAATAATAATAATATTAAAATCCAAGAACTCAGCTGCAGGCAGAACTAGAACCCCTCTTAAAGGACCCCTCTCCTTTGCAAAAAAAAACCCATTCGAAACTCTCGTTTATTTGTATAGCCCTAGACCTATATACTATATCCATGTATATTGCTTAAAGATATTGATAAAGTTAAAGATCTATATATAAAAAATAAAAAACATATATGTGAGTGTATGTCCGCAAGAAGCAAGAGCAAGCAACAAAAATAAAAGAAAACTCCCACAAACTGTGCTAAAACGATAAACAAATGTACGAAATACCATAATATGCAAAGTGTCGAATGTGTTGAGAGATGAGAGTCCCGGATATTATTTGTGTAATTTTGACCAGAGCAAAACTATACGGAAAATAGATCTAGCTGACTTGAATATGTAAAAGCCAAGCCAAGAGTAACGCAACAGCATCCAAAATCCCTCATCAAATCTATGTGCGTCTAACTGATATAATTGATAGTCAAAATATTGTATAACTCTTCAGAAGCCCCCCTCCTCCATTTGAGAGAAAGAAAGCTCCCTCTATCCAGTGTGTTCTATGTTCTATCCAGTAGCTGTATCCGTATCTCTAACGTTCGCTGTATCCGCATCTGTATCTGTATCTCTAACTGTCTCTGTAAACCATCTCCGATCCGACCACAACCGATCACACTCTAAAAGAACTACAATAAAAATTCAAGTTTAATATCCAAAAACATTATTGTGGTTTTTATTTTTCCTCTGATGTGCCGCCGTTGCGTTTTCAGTGCTACCAGTGATCGGGGGGATATAATATATATATATAAGTACAGCCCAACGTCATCTATGCCCCGTGGGCAATATGTGAATCAACCTGACCTGCCTTCATTGACTCTACAATTATGCTCTATTTTATCAAAGGTATTTTAGTTTTAAGGTTCGTTTTGTTTTATAGGTGGTTTGGTTTTAAATTGATTACTATATATCCTTAATTTATATATATCGTAAATAATTTTTTAGAGATTTTTAAGAGATTTATAATAAGTGATTTAAAAGAAAAGTATACAATTTTAGGAATTATGAATAACTTTTTGAAAAATTTTAATAACTTCTTCGTCTTTGAATAAGAAGTAAAATCTTGAGAGTTTCAGAGAACAAAATTTGGTTGAATATTCCAGTTTTTTAAAACTTAAAATGAAAGTCTATAATGATGATTTTTTAAGTAAATAAAATAAAATATATGATAGCTTAGAATAGCTAAAGACGATGCCTTTTAATGCACGCTCCTATCTTAAAAGCATTTGAAAAGAATAGAGCTTTAATATAAATTTAATAAATTCTATAGAGTTTAATTATAATATTCTATAGAGTATTTATAATTTCATTAAGAAATGCAATCCTTCAATCGATTGTTTACTCGATTCTGTTCATTCTTGGCGCGTGTCTCGGCGTGGGCGTGGGACAATCTGTTCTACCGATCCGATCCGATCTGCCCCGCCCCCCTCTCTATTCATTACCGCCCCCCCGTCGATATTAGATCGGATCTGCATCGCTGACGGGCCGGTTTATAAACAGACGGTGACATCATGTCTCACTGTCTCAGATCGCGTAGTGTCTCTTGCAAGCGACACTTGCGTCTCGGCCCTCTCTGCCCAGTTGGTCGCCAATAATAATTATTCGTGGCCACAATATTTACCCCCTGACTATATGGGATATAGATAGAAACATAGCTTCCACCGATTCACTGACATCTCATATGCATAAGTTGAAGGCTCGCTTTTGGCGCTCAAAGTTATAGAGTAGAGCTAGCGTTCCGATCCGATCGGATCGGATCCGTTTGGTTGTGTGATTAATGCTGCCCCCGGCCGTGATTAATGCCTAATTGCTTACTGAATGTCATAACAGTAATAAAAGAACAAAATCCTCGATGCAGTGGGGCATGTGTCATACATAGATTGGGGTATTGGGTCACCGCCTCCGCAGGGGTTTCGCTGGAGTCACCCCGTCCCGATGCACCGGCCATACGATTGTGGGTGTTGCGATATTGCGATTTCAATTGTGCGACATGAGTCTACAATATAGCTATGTTTGGGGAGTTTCTATAAAAAGAAAAGCCTAGGACGAGCCCTCGGGAAAACCGCTCTACTCATAGCTGATTTGAAAATTATATTTATTTTTTCAAACATTTGTTAAAGATTATTCTCAAGGTCTATAAAATTACAGACCTTTTTCCCAATCCTTTGTATATTTTACTAAAATATTTAAGTTATAATATTTAAAATTTTTTTTTTTAAAGAAAGATAGGCTTGTGCAGACCGTCATCCGGTTAAGAACAATATTTAGATCCCACTATGTAGCGATGAAATATGAAAACCGAAATCGTATCTAGCCGTCGCCGAGCTTTGATAAATTATGGCATTTAATCGCATAAAATATCGGCCATAAATAACAACGGAACGCATTATCATTGAGTTAACTATTAGCAATCCCAGTGGCACACATACTACATAGGTTGGTAGGTGTATCAGTCAGTGCCTGACCGACCAGGTGTATCAGTATTTGAATTAAGATAGAGTCTTACATGTGTTGCACCATTCGGTATTTATAGTCGTGCGTTAAGTGAAAAATTATGCCAACAAACACACCACAACAAGTGCGATTGTGATAAATGGGAAATGTCTTTGGGGCCGCCAAAAAGACTTGAGATTAGCCCCCTTGGCAACCCACCTCTACCCTACTTCTCCTCCTGTTAGTGTCCAATTGTCGACCTGCTGTCTGCCAAGGTCCATGCCTTGGAAAAGTCTATCAGTGACTCAGTGCCCCCAGAAGGTTGGGAAACGGTAATTGTGTGGAGTACAGATTGCTGGGAGCGGGGTTACTTTTAGTTCTACATATACATATATATGTACCTACATCAAAGGCGTGGCCTGGTCAAGATTAGCAAAAAAAAATTGACAGGTCGGGAACCTGCTCCACCACCCCCATAAACTAATTAGCTGTCTGGAGTGGAGAATAATTTAAAAATTATAAATAAAAAGTGACTTCCATATGTGGAACGGAAACAATTAGTGACTTGAAACAGAGAATATTTCAGATATTTTCAAAAATATTTCAATATATGTGTATTTTACTTTCATTTTTCATATTAAACACAAAAATTAATTTAAAACTTAATAAGTAACTAGGTAAAGAGTAAAGACTTTCGGGTAGAGGAGTACTGGAATATCATATAAACAGAATCCCGATTTTTTCTTATTCGTTTCTATCCAAAACTCATGAAATTGAAAGATTTTTAAATTTCTTTTTTTAGGCATAGCTCTAACATTTGATGTCCGATCTTAAAATTATGTACCATTCTGTGATCAGAACGGCGAGTACCTTCTTTTATCATTTAAAATATTGCTTACCCTTTTTTATTTTTGGAATTTTTCCCAATTTTTCCTCTAGAAGTTGTAGATTTTCCAAATTTCTCTCCATATATCTCACTTTTGATAGGCATATCTCTACCATTTAAAGTCCGATTTTGAAATAATATACCACTCCGTGAATATCGCCCAAAGTACCTCCTTTTCTCATCCAAAACATTGCTTAAATAGCCTTTTAAATTTTTTTTGAATTTTTCCTCTAGAAGTTGTAGATTTTCCAAATTTTCCTCTATATATCTCACTTTCGATAAGCATATCTCTACCATTTGATGTGCGATCTTGAAATAATTTACCAATCCGTCTATAATACCCAAAGTACCTTCTTTCCCTATTCAAAAAGTTTCTTAAATATCCTTTTTAAATTTTTCAAATTCTTCCAATTGTGAATACCCCACTATTTCCCCTTTTAATAGCTCATCCAAATCTAAAATGATTTAAATTATTTTATCACGGAAGAAACTATAAAAAAAAAAAAAACAAAATAATAACTGATAAGCCTTAAGCCTTAGATATTTTTATTCTGGGAAAAATGGAAGGCAATGTATTAATATTCTGTGACTGCAGTTTACTTATTAACTGCAAAATAAACCTAAAAATAAATTTTATTTTATTTAGTTTTCCGAGATGTTGGCTTTCCCGGCAAGGTCACCTACGCACAGAACGGCTTTTATTAGGCTTGTGATTTATGTGTCTGCACACACAACAACAACCCATAAACAATAAAGTCAGGTGCAGCATTTGTCTCGCCAAATGGGCCGTGGCTGAAAACCCCACCAAAAAAAAATTACAATTTGCAATGCAGTAAGAGTGGGGTGTGGGGACTGCAAATCTGCACTATTGACACACAGTATTGTGGCAGCAGTATGCGCTGGCTAAGGTCAAAATATTAATAGTATTCAACCATGCAACGCCCACACAAAAACGAAATTAATTACAAGTGAGATATTATTAACTCGAGTCGAATCGTCGTCGAAATTCGCATGCAAATCGAAATTTAAGTGTTTACAAAAAACAACAACAACAACAAAAGCAGCCACTAAAAAGCTACAAATTTAGCATCTACAGAAAATTAATAGCTCCGCTCATGACTAATTGGCAATCAATCAAGCTTTGATGTTTCTTCGCGCATTACTAAGCGTTGCAGTGCGGGATTTGCATATTTCTTGATTATTACTCATTGTGCTCAACGGATTCTACGCTGTTTGTTTGAAACCTGTTTTTAGACATCCATTCTAATTTTTTTCGAAACTCTGGCTCCTGGGTTTTTTGCGGTTCTTTACAAGCTTGTTGGCCATTTTCTTTTTTAAATTTGGCGGCGGGACTGCGGGGATGTGACCGTTTCTTGCCGATATCTAGACCAAAAGGTTTGGCGCCATCTTTAGTAAGCCGATAGTTTTCTTAAGAACATTTAATTAACTTTAATTTTTACATCTTTTACAACTAATTGGAGTTATTTTGCTGGAAAATTAATCTTCTGATCTTAAAACCTTAATCTGTTCCTTTTTTTTGAAATCCAAGGACTTTCCAAGATTAAAATTTGAATCGAATTCAATTTTGTTGCATACTTTTAGGCTTCTGCTTTTTTATTTAAGGCTGTTTTATGTTTTTAGTTAACTTCTCTTAAGGAAAATTTAAATTTTATATTGGAAAATATTCCCTCCCCCTTTTAGATACGCAATTGCACCACTACAATATACTTGAGTACTCTATGAGTACCGGATATAAAAATTGGCTTTAATATTGCAAGCTTTTGGGTCCATCGATTTTTCTTCACAAGAATACTATAACTAAGATCTATTAACAATTAAATTGGCACCAGGATTGGTCTGGACACTTGTTATACTACGGATTATTAGTGGTAGAAGCCGCTGCTTCGGGTGCCTTCATGGCCAGCATGGCGTCCAGTTCCCCTTGTATGTTCTCGAATTGATTGTAGAGTTCCAGAAGCTCTGCTTGGTTCATTTCGATGTTAATGTCCTCGCCAGCACCGGTCTTCATTTGGAGGACGGTTAGTGGAGTCTTCTCTCGCTGCTGGCAGTGCGAAGCGATCTCCATGTTTAATTTCCAGGCCACATCTTCGATGACATTGGATTCGTAGCGCTTGCTGGCCAGATTGTTCATTATTGGAGTAGTTTCCCGTACCCACAGTCGCAGTATGGCATCGATCTTGGCCTCGTCCTCCAGCTGGAGCTTTTCGCGCAGTTCCCGCTGCAGCAGGCTGGGCTTGATGATGAAGGTGGAGATCCGACGGAGGATGTAGGAGAAGGTCTTGATCAGCAGAAGGAAGTCGGCCCTCGGTACGCCCACCAATCGCTCCAGTTCCTCCAAAGTGTACTCCGGTTCGGTGCTGCTGGTGGGATTCTCGTCGGTGTTGCTGTCCGCCCGTTCAGTGGTCGTCACACTGGTGCCCACTGTACTGGTGGCACTAGTCCCAGGTGCACCCGTTGCACTGGGGCTCATTTGGCGGTGGGTGTACAGCAGCACAGTATTAAAGGTGTCGTAGGGCAGGGCATTGATGATCTTGATGCCCTCACGGGCTCTAAATTAATAATTCAAATGATAATTTTTTTAAATCAATTTTATTATTAAGATTTCATACCGATCGGTGATTTTTATCCAGTTAATGCTCATTGGACTAGAATCGAATTTTTTCTATAATTAAATCTAGTTTTTTTTACTAAATTTATGTTTTCCAGCAAATTGTTTGTGTAGAGAAGTAATAATAACAAAAGGCAAACGATAACTATCGATATGGACAGCTGTTCAGAGAGTTGCCATTTCCAGTCATGTTTTTGGCAGCAAAATAAACCCAGAGTTCATTTAAATTTTGAATTTGATAATTTTTTAATTAAATTATACATTTTTATATATAACAATAAGAAACATGTTTAAATTCCTCCTGTTTTTATGGCGGGGAAAAGCTGAGCTTACTCCTTTCGATAGTTCACACCGATATCTGATTTAGTGTTGGAAAACATCTCGCCAATACTGGTAACTAAGCTGGGCAGTGTTATTGCTGGTTCGGTTTTGCTGCAAAAGATGCACTTTTGAGGCGCAGCGAGTGTGCACCCACGCCACACGTCCTAGACCCCTAGAAGTGCAGCAGCAGTTGCAGTGGAAGTGGCAGTTGAAAGTGCGCGGCGGAGAGTCCGGGTGTGATCCAGCAGGAGGAATTTCGGCCAGGGCGTCGAATGGTGTTGTTAACTGGAAAGTGGACGGGCGGAAAAAGTGGAAAGCGGAAAAGTGAAAAAGTGGGAAACTAGAAAGCATAGCCACCAGCTATAAGCTATAAAGTAAGAATCTAAAAACTAGACATATCCTATCCTGCAGCAGGAGTTAAAAACAAAAACAATACCCCAGCCAGGCGCAGGCAGTGTTTATGTGCTATTTTTTCGTGCTAGTGTGTAAATAAACAAAAAAAAAAACCCGGCTCTTGGTGGGCGCTCTCTCTCTCTACTTCGTCTCACTCTCTCTCTCTGTTAGGCTTGCCATTTTTATCAATTATTTCCCGTTGGCTTGGGTGCACTGATAAAAATGGTAATTGATAAGCAGAGTATTTTTGTATTTCAGTGTACGTGTATCTCTCAGTTCAAAAGCAGCAGCAGCAGCAGCACCAGCAGCTTTCCGACAAAAAAAAAATCGATATCGCGTCGTGGGTTGTTTATTTTATGCTTCGTCTGCAATTTGCAGCCCCTTTCTCGCTCTCCCAGCACTCCACCCCACTCCAGTAATCCAGCACTCCATGTTTTCCATACAACTCCCGTTTCACCCACCCCTTTTTGTGGAGCGAGGGGCGAAGAAACAAATACCAAAATACAAATACATACACAAACAAGGTGTCATTCTATGGATGGTGGAGGGGGAGGGGGGTAGAAATTAAAAATAATAATTTTTCTTTTTTTTTTTTTTTTATCGCGCGGTATGCAAAAGTAAAGCTGGGGAGCTGGGAGCTCGAACTGGAGCTCAATTCCAACAATCTAGCCATGCAATCATTTTTAGCGAAACAAAAAAGAAACGTTTTCTTTCTGCCGTTTTCTTCTAGTTTTCTTCTATTTATGGCATTTTCCGCTCATTATAGCTCAGTTTAGCATATTTATGCTGGAAAGAAATATTGGGGTTTCTTTGCTTCTTACCTTTGGGCTACCGAGGGCTATAAAAACAGCGGTTAATCCAATTAAGAAAAATAAAACTCAACCCAGGTCGGTTGGTCATTTCGATATGAAGGATACCCTTTCTTAACCCTTTTTAGATCAAGTATGTATCATTTACATTCTAAATATTAAAATTAATAAAAAAATTTACTTTCAGAAGTACTCTAATTACTGGAAAATTAATGCCTGCCGTGTGTACAAGCTATTATCAGTTAATAGGAATGTTATATGGTATTTTGTTTATCAATAGACCATAAATTTCAAGAATCGTATTGGCAATCCTATAAATATAACTTCGTCATAGACAAGGTGAAGTCAGTTATAGATTCACCTTACCCGGGAGCAGTTCCAGTACCAACTCTCTTCATATGTAAATATTTCAATATTTCTTTTGGGGAATAATTCTGCCAAGTCGGCACCAAGTCCACAAAAAAAAATTGCTTATATGTACATATACTTTCCAAATGGAAATCCAATTGGTTCTTTTGGGTTTCGTCTATGCCTGACTCTTCCCGGTGTAGAGCATAGTGGGCATCGGCATTTGCTGTGGTCAGTCTTAGTCTCAGTCTAGGTGGGTGCGCGAACGGGTCAAGATGCAGAGGAGGAGCTAGCTGATGGAATTCCGAACGGACGCCCAGATACCAACATAGCCATGCACTAATGCATCGAATAATGCTCTTTGCAGACCAAGACGAGCCCCAACAATGGAGTCACACCAGCCGCCGAAGCGGCCGTCGTTGCATTTACTAACGGATGAGGGAGGAGCAGCCTCAGGATTGGGAGCAGGAACAGGATCTGTTGGTGGAGCGATAGCTGAGATGTCGCCCACATCCGGATTCTTGCCGGATATGCCGCAGTGGAAGAAGGATCTCATCCAGCGGCGCAAAACCAATGTGGCACGCACCCAGGCGGCGTCCATCGCCTCACCCACCGAGGGCGGTGGCAGTTGTGGGGCTTTGGCGGATGTGCCAGTGCCAGGTGCCAGCAATGCAGGTGTGTATACGACTTATGCAATCTAAGTGCCCAGGTGTTTAGTTAATTATCTAGTTAGTAACTTATTAACTGGATAATTAGATTTAATTTCGAATCTGTTTTTCCGTTACTCTCACTTTCATGTCTGTTTTATTTAAACAGACCGCCAAACTATCGATTACATGATATCGATATGGCAAGGTTGCCACCTGGGCGTAATGCAAAACTAGTTTTTATTTGAAGCCAGATATTGAGAACTAATTGTGTTTGTGTGCTTTGCAAATTATCTCTCTCTCTCTCTCGGTCTCTTTTTTTTTGTAGACGCTGCTCCCGGCAGCACTAGTCAAGCACTGGCCAAGAGAAATGCGAATGCGAATGCGACGCTAGTAGCAGAGGAAAAGTCTGAGAAATCTCTAACCGGAGGTCATCATACCCAAGGCAAAGACTTTGTTGTTGCTGCTATTTCGAATGAAGTTGCCCCAGCACTAGCAGCAACAACAACAACAACATTAGCACCCATACCAAAGCAGCGATCGAGTTTACTCAACACTCAAAGAAGTCAGGAGCAGCAGCCAGAGATTCTAAATTCGGAACTGAGAAAGCGTGGAGGAGAGCCGGCGGCAATAGGCAGCATGGTGGGGCTGTCAATGCGCTCCCATATTCGTGGTGAAGTTGAATCTGGCACAGCGGCAGCAGAGACAACTGGAGCATTAACGGAGACAGCACTGGCAGCAGCAACGTCGTCGTCGTCAGCAAATCAATTGTTAACGAAATGCAAACCCGGCCAGAGCGTTGCTGAAGGCTCGTTGTTCCCAGAAGCGAGCCAACTCGATAACAAGAGCTCCTCTAGCTCCTGCAAGACTAAATCAATATCCGATAAATTGCAGAGCAACAAGTTCATCCAACAACAGCAGCAACAACAACAACAGTATCATCATCATCAACAACAACAACAACAGCAAGTGTCGCCCAGCAAGGTAACGGTAAAACCGACAATGGTCGCTATGCAAGAAATGAAAAAGACGACGAAACAAAATGGCCAGCACCGACACATACCAGGCAAGATCAGTACTGGGAGCGGAGGTGGTGGTGGTGATCCCGATGGCAGCCCTTCCAATCTCCAGGATTCTCTAGTGGACACCAACGAGGATCTTAGCTATGGACCCGGCATTGTGTCGAAGCTGCGGTGTCGCTACCTCAGTCTTGCCCTTCGCGAATCCCGCCAGCAGAATAGTAAACAGCGCCTGCAACGTTCCACCAGCCTGAACACCCTCCTCGATCGGGACGATGACGAGGGCGATGGCGAGACCGAGATGCCCGAGGATGGGCCAACGGTGGTGGCCATCAGTCAAGTGCGTGCCAAATCCACACCGCCACCCATACTGGGTGCCAAGCCAACACCGAAACCCATCCAGCGACCGGTGAGTTTGGGTGCCAATGGCACTGTTCCGACTGCCGCCATCAACCCGCCCAGCGTCGCCGCCAACTGCGAGGACACCAAACCGGGTGGTGGTGTAACCAATGGCGGTGGTGCCAACGGAGGGGTGAATCGATCGCGACACTTTAAGCGCGGCAACGAGGTGATGAAGCGTGCCCGCTCCGTGGAGGCACTGCTCTGCGAGAAGTCACCGTGGAATAGTCAGCGCAGCAGCAACATGACCCCCGGATCCAATGCTCCGGCAGCCAAAACATTGACGGCCACCTCACCGGCCGCCTCGCCCACCTGCGTCACCATCGAGGACAAGATCCACAATGCCCGCGAACGGTTGCACAGTGGCACGGATACAGCGCCGCCGAAGCGTCTGGCCTCCATTATCGATGATACGGAACGACCGCCACCCGATCTTGTCAAGCAAACGCTCAAGATGTTCGAGGCGAGCGCCAATCGCCGGCCCAGGACTGCCCACCGCTCCAATGGAGTTGGAGGAGTGGCCAGCAAGGTGGCCAGCTACAAGTCGATAATCAAGGAACAGAAGGTGGCGCCGCCCAGTGTGGGCTTTGCCTCCTCGACACCGCTGAGGCCGGTCAATCATCCGGATATAATACCACGACAGGCGGACACATCCATGTCGACGCTGAGCATGATGATGCGGCGCATCGATCTGCCAGAGACGGAACAGCCGGCGGAGGAGCAGCTGGTAGCCATCGGCGGCACACAGCCCAACGAGGCGCCGAGCGAGACTGAGCCGCGCGACGAAGGCGATGGAGATGAGGGTGGCGATCGTGGCGATGTCGCAGGCGAAGGCGATGACGACAACAATGAGAAGCACGACAACGACAACGAAGGCGATGGTGGCGGCAACGACAACGATGGAGACGGAGACGGAGACGTCGAAAACAATGATAAAATGGGCGCGGCAGGCGATAAGCTTAGCCCGAAGAGCCCGGCGACGGAAGCGGGAGGCGCCCAACACCGATCATTCGCTCCCTCGACAGAGAACGTGCATGTAGCAGCACCAGTACAAGTAGCAGCTGGCACCGGAGGAGTAACGCCAGTGAGGAAACTAAACACCGAATCATCATCATCCTCGACCAGTACCACAAAACAGATCGGTGTGATCCGACCGCTATTCAACAGCCAGGGCATAACACCGCCATTGACGAGTCGCGAAATCGAAAAGAATCGCATCAATGAGATGAAGAAGTCATCGGAAACCGGAAGCGGCATTGGATCTGGAGCTGGTGGTACAACTGGATCACTTGCCTCACCCACCACTAGTCTCGATACCGTGATAAACACCAAGGAGCCAACTGCTGCAACGGGCAGCAGTCACAGTGAAACGGATGCCACCGCCTCACCACTATGGACGCTACGAAAGACGGGCCAGCGGCCGGGACAGAATCAGGGAGCCGGTGTCGGGGTGACGGCCAGTTCCAGTCATACGGCAACGGAGAACACCTCGATGGTGTTTAACTTCTCCAAGAGCACCAATAAGGTGCCGGACTATATCGAAAGCGATGTTGTGATCTACAGGCGCAAGCGTGAGCTGCCAAAGGTGAGTCTTTCTAAGGGGGGTTGTAGAATTCTTTCCTCCCCTCTCTTCTCCTTCCCGGAAGAATGTGACCATAGTCTTATCGTCTATGCGGCGCCCTTGCGGATTATTCATGCTTAACAATTACCCCGTGAATTATTATTTTCCTGATAATTTTTTTTTTTTTTCGTTTCGTTTTTTTGGTGGCTTGCGTCCGTCCCCAATATCATTGTTGTTATGGTTTATATTCCGTTTCTTTCTCTCTGGTTATTTTTTTATTTATTTTTTTTCATAAAGATATATGTAGTATATCTATGGTTGTCAGCCATGCCATATAAACAAATATGAAACAAAGAGAGAGGGGGGGAGTGGAACAACGATCATGCGCATTTCGAAAGTTCAACAAGGCGGCGAGAACGGAACTGAGAGAGCGAAGAATTGTGGAGGAAAGCGCTACGCGAATACTCTTTCTTCAGAGGTCTCTTTCTTCCGATTCTTCCGTCTTTTGTGAGTCACTTGTCGGGGGGGGGGGGGTTTGGGGGTTGGTAATCTTGAGATTATTGATCTTCAGATTATTGAAATATGGTATTACTTCCTTTATATGATGATATATCTATACCTCTATAGTGATTCTTCGGAACCCTGAGCTGAATCTTGAGATTATTGATCTTTCTTGTTGAAAAATGGTATTACTTCCTTGGGTTCTTTGTTTTTAAACACCTATAGTAAGACCCTATCATGGGTTTAGTTCTCTAATATTTCGAATACATCTGTGAGATTAATTCTTTATGAAACTGATCCGTAATCTTAAGAATATTACTCTCCATAATTAAGGAAAGATAATAGTCCCTAGATCCTTGGTTTCTAATCATTCTAGTATTATACATACCATGGGTATAGTTCTCTAAAATCACTAGAGAGAATGGGAGTTCATAAAAATGATTCAAATCTTCAGATTCTTGATCTTTATTATTGAAATATGGTATTACTTCCTTGGGTTCTTTGTTTTTCAACTTTTTAGGATGATATATCTTAGGGGCTTAGTGATTCTTCAGAAGAGTGCTCCAAATCTTAAGATTATTGATCTTTCTAATTAAGAATAGATCGTACTCCCTAGGGTCTTCGTTCTTAAACTTTTTATGATGCTATATCTTAGGGGTATAGTTTTCTTAGATGACTTGTGAGAGTGATTCTTCAGAAGAGTGCTCTGATTCTTCAGTTTCTTAATTCTTAAGCCCCTAGTTTCTTTATTCTTAAACATTATATGATGATACATCTTCGAAGTATAGTGAAGAATAGGTCATACTTCCTAGTCCCTTCATTCTTAAACTTTATATGATGCTATATCTTAGGGTTATAGTTCTCTAAAGTCACTTGTGGGAGAGATTCTTCAGAAGAGTGCTCTGAATCCTAAGATTATTGATCTTTATCATCAAGGAATGGTAATAATCTTTAGGTAATATCTTTATATGATGCTATATCTTAGTGTTATAGATCTCTAAAGTCGCTTGTGAGAGTTTCTCTTCAAAATTCTTCAATATAATCTCAATATTATAGATCATTTTCATAAAAGAAAGCCTATTCTCCTTTAGGATCTTTGTTTTCAGACTTTCTATAATGATATATCCTCTCTGATAGTCCCATCCTATTATTTACTCCCAAATCCAGTTATCGCTCTGGCTTCTCCCATAATTATACCATCCAACGATTTCTCAAATCACTGGTTCCATCACTGATCATAGAGTAAGCTCAGAGGACACCAGGCCTCTATTTATCTTCCAGAGATAATCAACATTAGATCAATAAATGATCTTTAATTATGGCTATAAGGAAGGGGCTTCCAAAAAGGCAACCGAGACGTATATATCTATAATAGGAGAATCGCTTTCATTGCATCATGTCTATAGGAATGCGAATTGATCTTCTGCCCGAGTGCGAGTCAATTAAAATTCGACTTGAATAGCTCTCCCGATCGATAGCCCCCCCTCCGATTCTCAGGGCGACATGTGCAAAAGTCACTCCTACATATATACATATATATCTCTAGTATATACATTCCCATAAAGACATATATATATATATATAGCCAGCGTTGTATATCTGCATATTCTTTCCCAAAGTCTGCTTTGTTCCCTCTGCCAGATGCAAGTCTCATCTGCCGCCAGTCTTCTGTCTTCTCGGCTCCCGTCTCTTCAGTCTTCGATCCCTTCTTCTTGACTTTTAGGCTGCAGTTCTTTATTTTTTTTTTATTTTTTTTATTGCTCTGCTGGGGAAACCAGTTTCTTGAAGGCATGCATGTGGACATGAGAAGATATTTCTACGCTTCCTGCTGCCATCAAAAGTTCCAACCTAAAAGATATCGTCTTTTTCCCCCACCATACATATGGTGTTATGTGAGATAGATGGGGTCTTGGGACTGGAGCCGGCTGGAACTTGGCTTGGCTTGGATGCCAGATTGGGCTGGGCTGGGCACAGCTGTTCCTGATCCTGTAGCTGTGTTGGAAACGGGCTTTATCGAGTGCTGATGGTTTGGCTTTAAGTGAGAGGTTCGATTCGGATGGGAAGAAATATGAGTTTTTTTTTTGTTTTTTTTTTTATGGTTTTTAATTGTGATAATTTATTTTAAATAATAAAAAAAAGATTGTTTTTTTTTTTAACTTTATTTTTAAATTAAAAAAGTCTTATTTGTTATATAAAACTATAAAATCTTTATAAACTATTGAAAACTATTTTTACAAAAATATGCTAAAATATGTAGTATATTTTTTAAATATTATTTACTTTCTTAAATTAATTTTAAAAATCTATCTTTATCTCTTAGAACCTATCTCTTTTGTTGCCATTTTGAAATAGTTGGCCATCTCTAGCCTGGCATCTCTCTCTCTCTCTCTCTGCCTCTTTTGCTCTCCTTTCAGCTTTAGTTGAGTTTCCCCACTGCTTCTTCTTCTTCTTGGCACCGGTTGCTGCTTGCAAACCCGTTTTGTTTGTGCTTTGTGCCGTTCTCTAGCTCTCTCGCCCTCTCTTGCCCGGCCTCCCACCGCCCCTTGGCCCCACACAGCCCCCCCTTGTGGCTACCTGTCTCCCCACCCCCCTTGGACCCCTCCTTGCTACCTTGCTTTATCCTCTCACTCTCTTTGCAGCGGTGAACCCAATTTTGTCAATTCTTTGTGTTTTTTTTTTGTTGTTTTTGTTTCTTTTCACTTCCACTTGTGGTGTGTTTTGGTTTGCTTTTACTTCTGACTTTTGCTTTTGGGGTTCTCTGTCTTTTGGCTTTGATTTTTTGTTTATCTTTTAAAGTTTATTATCTGTTGTCTCTGTTTCTGTCTCTGTCTCTGTTGTGGCATATGGCTGGGGGTCGGGTGCCACAATTGGTGCCACAAAAAATGGGCCAACGGGACTGGGAACTGATGACTCTGGACCCTGTACTACGTACCCTTGGGTAGCCCCCCCCCCCTGCAGTGAGTCACAGCTGACGATGATGACCCATAACCGAATGACATTTCCCAGAATTTCACTTTTTTGAATCGCATATGGAATGGTATTGAAACAACGGGAAATTAATTTATGACCTTGATTTATTGTTTAGTTAGTTAGACTTAGTTAGTTAGTTAGTAGTAGCCATAAAAGGTGCTAAGCTTGAAATAATCTTGAAAAGTCAGGCCATTATTATCCAACAGCTGGGGGAGATACTTAACCCCATAAGGGTATCGGGTTACAGCTTTTGAGAAAGTAATACTATTCTACTAATATATATACTAATTCTCCATCCTCTTTTTTTTTTTTTTGTAGCCAAATGAGCCCGGCTTCGTGTTGCTGGGCGACCTCTCTGTGGAGACGTCAACGGACACGGACTACGATGACCTATCCATGTGCCCGCCATCGCCGTGCGATGTGGAGTTCGAGAATGCCAACATTGTGATTGACGGCAAGTCCAGCATACGCCAGAAACCCAAAGAGTCGACGGTAAGGATTCCCTCCCCCCTCTGAAAAGGAGGATTTCCAAATGCCCCACCGTGTAATGTCCATGGGAGTGAGTCAGTGGGTGGTGTTATTGGTATTGTTATTCCCCCTCCGAAAGCTTCAAAAGATATCAATAGTTTAGTTATTTTTTTTATTGTATGTTATGAGAGAGGATAAGATAAGATTATTTTTTCGCCTCTGCCTCGAACAAAACCAAATATTTATAGTGTCAGTATTGAACAAATATCAGAAATAGGGAAGTAAGACTTCCCGACTTTGAATTCCAGTTTGGGACCACCTTGGCTGATAAGAAAGTGTAGAATAGGAGTTTTATTATATTATAATCTATATATATATATTGTATATATATCAAGGTAGTCTATTAATCAAAGTTGCATTATATTGCTTTGCTTGTATGTCTTGTTTCGAGTGTTAATTTATTTATAAATTCAGATTCCAAGTCCGAGTGCGTTCCATCGGTGTGACTGATATGGGAACTCTTTTTTTTTTTTTATTTTCAATTCGAAGAGCAACATCAGCAGCCTTTATTTCGAAATCAATACAATCGTATCGTATTTAATCGAAATGGTGATTGGAGGTTGGAGGAGGGGGTTTAATGTTCCTCCGATAAGAGAAGCCTCCGATTTTTTTTGATTTCCATTTCCAATTTTCTCTGGAGTCATCATCATGGCGCGGGGTTGACTCACTTGATATCGCTATGTTTTCTGCCGATAAGGTACTACACCACCATCGATGAGTAACCCCATCGAACTGACGACTCTGCGGGGAGTTACTCCCAAAAAGAACCCAATTTGTAGACAAAACAAGAAGGAGAACCATCATCATATAGTTTATGGTAACAAACACACACCATCTCTACCGTTTATACGACACTCCATAAACTAATTTATTCAAAAGCCATTGAAAACGAAACTGCCTAATGCATAATACATTCACCTTTTATATATTTTATAGATATATACAATATTTTAATCGGATCTTGGCCTTTTCTTTCGTTTAACCTTCAAATTATCAAACATTTTATTTGGCACTACTTGGGGTGGTGTTGTTTTTATGTAAAATAGATGGATGGATGGCTGGATGGATGGTATTTGCCAATTTTGGTTTCAAATATCAGTATTAATTCCCTTTGTCCTTCACAGTCTGCTCTTTTCTGTTCATTCATTGGATATTTGGACAAATATTTATCGGAAGGAGATTAGAAGTGAGACCACTGATAGGGGGAGCTCTTATCGGAACAGGGTTTCCTTTTTAAATAATGGGGGGTTTCTTATAAGAATATTAGGAATATTATTATTTGGGAAGAGTTAAAAGAAGTTGGGAAGTTGGATAAAGAAAGCCATTTTGTATAACATTTTTTATAAGGGCTTTAAATAATGATCTATCATGCATATGAGGCCTTCTTTTTAATAAAAGAGGGTTTAAGAAACTAAATAGCCCAAAAAAAGAGCTACCTTGTAATACATATATGATTTTAAACCCCAAATAATAATAAAATAATAGTCATATTTTTATAAGAATATGGTATGAATATATAGAATATAGAATATAATATAAGAATATTATATCATGTTTATAGGGCTTCATATTTATTCAATATTATGGATAGATGACAAGTTTGAGGATCTTGGAAAGTTAAAAAGGGATCTATCGTGTATATAAGGACGTTTTTTTTAAAGAACATTATCAGTAGAAAAGGGTTTACAAAATGATATAAGGGCTAATATGATAAGGTATTATTAGGGTAAGGATATAAAGATTTAAAAAGGATTTAAGGAACTTAAGAAGAACTATAAGAATAGCAATAAAAGAAAAGGGCTTAAGGTTCTTCTGAAGAAGTCAATAGAGGTGCTATCATATATGTAATATGTTCATAGAAGAATAGTCCCGTATATAGATAGATATCCGTATATATAGACCCGTAGATAGGTAGATATAGAATAGAATAATAGAAAGGGCTCAAGAATTGAAGAAGTCAATAGAGGTGCTATTATTTATGTAGAATTTTCTTAGAAGAATACTCCCAAAAATAGAAAAGGCTTGAGGTTCTGAAGTAACTAACAAAGGATCTAGTTACTTTGTTTATTATACCAATATAAAAGGGTTATAATAACTTAGGGATCTAACAAAGTGGTTATCAAGTATATAAGGACTAAGGATTAGTAATCAATGAAGAGATTTGAAGAACTTAAGCAGCATTTAGAGAATCTATCATAAAACAATACCCAAATAATTTTTTTTTATAAGAAAGTTATGAATAAAAAAAGGTGCTAGGACCTTAGGAACCTTAAGAAAGAAAGCTATCGTGCAATAGACCCCTCCAAAACCCCAAAAATAACAATACCAATCTCAAGACAGACTGACCGTCTCACCCCCAGACACCTCTCTGGATCAATTATCTATTCCAGTCGAATAAACCCGTTTACTGATCAGATTTCTTGATCTTTTCCCACACAGTTCCGCGTGCAGTTCAACGACACGCTGACGTCGACATTTGAATACCCCTCCGAGGCATCGATGACCATTGACGACCCGCCGTACGCCGATCCCTTCGGTCATGTTAGCAAGCACCACCAGATGCTCTTGGCGGAGCAGATGCAGTTGCTGCAACACCAGCAGCAGTTGGACCTGGAGCAGCAGCAACAGCAGCAGCAGCATCATCATGTGACCGTGGACGAGATCATTGAGCTGCCCACCTCGACGGCGGGACAGGGACATGGACATGGACACAGCAACAACAAGCAACAGGCGGCAGCGGGGGCGACGGGGGGCGGCACGATGCTGGGGAATTTACCGTTGGGTAAGTAATATCGGTTCCGTTCCGCATTATCCATCCAAGCGTGCGTAACTCACATATGTGTGGCATGCAGCAGCAGCAGCAGCAGCAGCGGCAACAGTAGTAGCAGCATCAAAAAAATGGAATGGCTTGCTCTCTCTGTCTCTGTCTCTGTCCATAACTTAGTCACTGTCTCTGTCTTACACACTGCCTGCCGCCTGCCTGCCTGACTCAATCTGACTCTTTCTATCTGCCTGCCTCTATCTCTTTCTCTATCTCTCTATCTCTCTTGTCACTTGTCCTTAATATCTTGATTTACCAGCTGTGTTCTTATAAGTTATATCTATCATCATACTACCCACTCATCCATCACTCATAGTTGTCTCTTTTGTTAATTCTTTTTTTTTTTTTTTTAATATTAAAAATATATATATTAAAGATCAACACTAACACTTGATAAACCATAAAAATATATGAAAATTGAAAGAAACTCAGGGAAGACAGTAGGTCCTCAGGAGGTTACATTTTAGGGATAATCTCATCAGTAGAACCCCTTTAGAAAAAATATATATTAAATCTCAGGTCTAAAGAAAGAAACTCTCACACTTTACAGATAATATTAATGATACAGTACTACCAGTAGCAGGAGACCCTGTCTCCGTATCCGTTTCTGGAACACCAGCTCCATGCTCAGTTCCCAGTTTCAAATGTGGCCCCAGGTCCCCGGGACACCAGGCCAGCGGCTGTTGTCGTTGGCCCAACCTCCGAGACCTGGGCGCCCAGCTACGCCGGCTGACCAGGCTGACCAGGCTCATCAGGTGGGTGCAGCCAATCAGCTAGCAGCCCCCCTGTACTCAACCTATATCCACCTGCTATACTCGAACAGAATCCACCCCCCCCCTTAAAAGCCAAAGTTCAGTGCTTCAGTTTTGTTTCAAAATTCGATTTCTATTTTTTAAAAAATACTAAAACCTCTCTAACTGGAGCACAGATCTTAGGAACTTGGCTGAGATGGGCTTTCAATTTCGACTACCGCATATTCTTGCAGATTACCCAAGTTTAGGGAGGGGTATTATCTTGCAACAGTCGCCACAACAACAACAACAGCAGCAGCAGCCGTCGTCGCCCGAACCTGCCACTCCTCCAATAGAAACACCAATGACACCAACCGGATTGGAAATCGCTGCCAGAAACAACAGCAACGATGTCACGGTCGCCAAGCGCCCCCAGCTCCCAGCGAAGCCACAGCTGCAGCGTAGAAGTCGTCCCTCGGTGTTGCTGAAGCCGCAATATGCCTGTTTCCTGCAGAACGATGCACCCAGATGCACCCCTCTGCCCTCAGCCCGAGGACCTCGCAAGGCGGCTTCCTTTTCCTATTCGATGGGTGGTGGTCACCACCAGCAGCAGGAACCACACCAGGAATCCAAGCAGCAGAGTAATTATGAAAAACGAGAGCTAGATCAGCTCCAGATCCCCGATCCACGGGAGCGACGTCGTCGGCCCAGTCTGCCGTCGTCGCTGGCCTTGCCCAATGCCAGTACAGCCCTGCTCCAGGCACGCATTCCAGGCACAACGCTCTACTATGTCTGATGACCAAGCTCACCTTACAAACAAAAAAATTCCAAAAAAAAAAGAAATGAAACACCAAACTACAAGCTACCAGAACCAATACCAGAACCAGAACCAGATCCAGAGATATCCCCAGCCAGCCAGCGAAACGTAGGCATTGCCTTTAAAGCTTTAATTGATATTTGTTTACAAAATAGGCTAGAATATCACCCATAACTCCCGGTACCCGGTACCCGATACCCGGTACGGGCCTCCTTATGTTTTGGCAAAACCATTACCATCCACGGTGACCCTGATCCGTTCCCAAAAACTGGTTGTTGATTTAAGGCCACTAAAACTACTGTAAAGTGTAAAGTTGTAACCCGTACACATCCGATTCATTAATAATAATAACAATTGAATGCGGAAACCAGAAACAAAAGGCAATATCTATACACTCACCAAATACACAACAAAAAAACGTTAAAGTTAATATATATAAAAAAATAATAAAAAAAAAACACTGGGGCGGCCGGACACTCCAAAAACACACGATTAATCAATTATTAGATGAGCTTCCTACAAGTTTATGCGGAGACAGAGTTGGCGAATTGAAGAAACTTAACTACCTGGACAGATCTGGAAGAATGCTGTATTATATAATCGATGAAGTTGGACCCGGAGATCGGAGATTGTGCTATACCTCCCTGCTGAAATCCCCTTGCTAAATATTTTTAAAAATTAGGAATAGTTTTCATCTATGATAGCAGCTAGTTGTTAGGTTTATACGGTGGTTATTTTATAGTATTTCTTTTTCTTTTTTTTTTAGATTCTTTAGAAAACCAAGCCTGCTGGTTTGCTTATTATAGTTTACTATAGCTTGCTTACTAGTATTGATTTCCTGATGTATTAAGTTACTTCTAAACACGCCTGCAGCTGACAGACTGCGACACTTCACTGACATTTGCTTGGAATTAGAATTAATTAGAAGAGCTACTCAAGTCTTAAAAAATATAAACAACAAGTTCCGTAGAAGAACTGTGTAGAAGCACTAACCATACAGCATATAGACAACCCATTTCATACAACGAAAATGGACGCGAAAATTTCTTCCGACAGGCCCCAGCAGGCCCCAGAGCGGATTTCTTACGCTCTCTTACGCTCATCGTTCGTTCATCTTACGCTCATTCTCTCATTAAATTTTTTCTGTTTCTCAGTCTCTAAACGGAGCGCGATGAAGAAGGTTGGCCTGCGCTTCGATCAACCGAATGTATGTATGCGTGTCACACATTCACTTACATGGGTGTATGTGTGCGTGCGATTTCGTTTCGAAGCCAGCGCACAAAATTTTGATTTTTCTTACTTTTCAGGCTTGCTACCCTAACCAAATTCGGGTATTCGTTATTTGATGAAATGACGAAAGAAATTATATTATTTTTATATTATATTTTTTATTATTTCAGCATACATTTTTAATTTATTTAGGAATAAGATTAAGTGTTAGTAGTAAAATGTTTTCTGTATATATATTTTTACGAATCATTAAAAATCAATATACTGAGAAAGTGTCAGAGTATATTTCAGTCGGAGTCACTTAAAACGCCGATTGCTTTTAAGTTTTTGTTGTTCTGCAAGAGGCTTGTGCATGCCTACTCTAACGATGGAATGATTTTTAGGGGAGGGTGAAGACACGAAAACAGCTGATGGACTTGTTTACCTTTTTTGTTTACAATTTTTCAGGCACTTGTTATTATTTTGGGTTATTGTGAGATTTTATTAAATTATTGTCGTTAATTTAATAATTTCCCTATATATTTTGGAACTTTAAAAAGTCGCCGCTCGAATTTGTTACAGATATATATACATATATATATATATACGTACTTATATATGTATATATATATATATATGTATTTATGTCGGTATCCAGGGAACACCACGAGGAGGCCATTGCGATTGCGATGGAGTCTTCAATGAAGACTTTCGAGTCGACTTTAGATACCAAAACTAATTGGCTATCTCCTTGTTCCCCACCTAACATAACCTACTCCTAAACTAATAATAAAATGAGACATATACAAAACCAAAAATTATTCTTTGAGTATTTTTAGTTTCTTTGAACCTGCTGCTGATGCAGCTTTTCCTTTGAAATACATTTTTTCTGTTAGCCATTTGCTGTTTTTCCTCAATAATATTAAAACAAATCCGTCCAGCATTTTCATCCTGTGTTCATAACAGGGATGGCTAACCGAAAACCAATTAGAATATATGCTGGATTTTTCAGTGGAGGATATGCAAGATTGAATAATTGTTTTCTTTATTCTGTTCATCTGTGGCTTTTTTCAAATATTTTCTTAAAAACAGAATAATGTATTTCAATCAAAGAAAAATAGTAGTCAGAAGGAGCTTTAAGTTTTAAAGTTTTATCAGCGCAGTCATAATTTTTATTCAGTATAAAATTTTCCGTACAGGTTTGTGCTTCTATTTTTTTCTTTAATAGATCAGCACACACTCCGCAATCTTTTTTTTCCAGAATTTTAAACAATATATAGCCTGCAAAATATCGCAAGGCATTGCTATCAAACTCGTCACCAGTTGCAATATCCAAAACTTGCTCAATTTCCGTCTCGTCATCTGAGAACATCTCGAAATCGGTATTGTCTTCGCCGGTTTTTAACTCTTTGCAAGTTTTATTCAAGCTGCAGTCCTGGATAACGTTAATTAACATTGTATCTTCATCTGGGCCGCAATTACCAGATAATGATTTCGAAGTTAATATTTTCATTGATAGCATTTTTGACATTATTGTATTAAATTCTGACATCGATGGATTGTTATTTGTTACTCCGCGAGCCCTTATTAAATAAAACAAGTTTTCTAAGGGGTCTTGATTCAATTTCGCGGTTGATAAATAAAAGATTTCGGAGCTCCACACACTTTCAGATAGTGCAAGTACTGATGAAATTGTTAACATCATGCCGTCAATGCAGTGTACTACTTGTGGATATTTAAATTCTGCAAAATAATTCCTCATTTCTAAGAGGTAATTGTGAACGTTATTATTATTTTGCAGTGCACACCTGTACGGATTTTTTCATACAAAACATGGCTATTGAGGCAATCAAAGAGCTTATTAACCTTTTCAATAAAATTTGCCGTAGCTTCTGCGCTATTTCGGCATTCCACAAATCCGCCAGAATCAATCACTGTTCGGATTGCGGCCGAAACAGTGTGGCTAAATATTTGTGTTGCATATTTAACTTTCATTTTTTCAAATGAGTTTGGATTTATATGCTTCGCCGTTACTTTGGGACAAAGCCTCGTTGAGTTTCTAGACTCAATTTGGTATAACTTCCTTATTATATCCCAAGATACATCTCCATCCGGCGTGTTTAAATTATTTTTTATTAAAAGGTTTCTCAATGATTTTATAAGATGTGGGGCATCGAATATTGTAAATATTTCTTTACCGTTAACATTGAAACTCGGCTTGTTTATGCTAACGCCCCATTTCTTAAATGCAGCTCTATTATTTGAGCCTTGATCGCATATTATGGCACGTATGTACGTTTAACCCCAACGTTTGCGAAACTTCTATGTTCGCTTCAACTTTTTTTCATGAGGCAATCATGCTTAATACCGTTAGCCGAAACAGTATAGCTTAAAACGTACTTCCAATTTTCAAATAAGCCTCTAGCCATGAAGACGCATACTTGCTGCCCTAAAAATCGAGTTCTTTTTTTCACCATCATTTTCAAATCCCTGAATTTCATCGAGAGCGGTATTATATTGCAGTCCTTTTTTGATTTTTATTTCATCACAAAGGATCACTGCTTCTTTACCTTTCTCGCTCATTTCACCAACAATTTTCTGGAGGTTTTCTAGAAAATCAGGTTGAAATCCTGGCGTCATATTTTTAAAAAGAGCCCATCGACACAACGTACTTTTGGCAGGAAGTTTTAACTTTAAAACATCCCTCATGTACTCATACGTTCGCGAAGAATAAAAATTTATATTCTGGGCTATCACTTTTTCTGCGCTGTTATATGAGTTCGATTTTTTTAGCAGCATTTTGCATAATGTTTTGGCCTCATCAGAAACATGAGGTAATTTATTTATAATATTAAATAAATTTAGGGTGCTTTTTCTACTATTTCTCATACCCTTGCGTCTACTAGAATTTTTCTCATTTTTTGCATTTTTCTTTGTATTTTTTAGTTCAAGAGACATCTCATAATTCTTTTTCTGTAAAATCTCTCATTTTCTTCCCTCTTCTGGCAATTTGAACAAAAATCTTCTAACTGAGGTGAACTTTCTAAATTGGGAGTTTCTAAATTGGAAGGGCTACCTACCCTATTCAAAAACTCTTTTCTTCCTATTGGGTTAATATAAGTGCCAATTGGTTCTTCCGCCCCATCATCACAAAATTCAAATTGTTCACATGGAACAGTACTGTTCGGACGCAATAGTGAATTGTCACATAAATTTAAAGTGGGTACGGCATTGCTTCTAAGCCTACTTTTCCCAATATATTTACTTTCAAAATGTCTGTTACAAATTCGCGCAGTTCGTCTGTTAAAAGTGTCATCCAATTGGCACAATTCAACCCATTTCTTAAGATTCCTATCATCCGATGGAAAAGAAAACAATCTAATTGGAATGGAGTGTGATGAATCCCTGTAACTCCCCTGGCAGGATGCAATAATGCACTTGCGTCCATTTTTCCTAACATTAGGCCGATTCATTTCAAAAATATTTAAACCGAATATTTAAATAAATTATTTAAGGTTTAAATAACTAGATTTATACTTGCAATTGATGATGATGTAGCCACGGACGCTCGGAAAGTTTACGTTTAGTAAAAATATTTCCGAAAAATACGTTAACACACCGATACTAATCACTTTGTTCACAAAAATCAGCACTTAATTTGGTCCTCACGAAAAACGCTCCTCACAGAACAAAAATAGAATGCCGATTAAACCATTTTCCTCTTTTTCATCAAATGGCAATATTTTAGGCGGGTAAATTAGGTTGGTGGGTAAGCCAAGTGGCAACCAAAAATTACAAGAATCAAAACAAACCAGAAAAAAATAGTTTTGGCGCGCAAGTTAACACTTTCATTGCCAAGAACTCCAAAGGCATGCCACAGGGAAATGACGGTGTGTAAATACGGTAGTGACATTTTTATATTCATGTATATATTTTAAATTACACAGCAGATCATACAATAAGATATGCACTATAGATCATAAAACCATATAAGAATCCATAAGCATAAAACCAATGTAAATATATATATATATTTATAATATTTATAAATTCGAGCGGCGACTTTTTAAAGTTCCAAAATATATAGGGAAATTATTAAATTAACGACAATAATTTAATAAAATCTCACAATAACCCAAAATAATAACAAGTGCCTGAAAAATTGTAAACAAAAAGGTAAACAAGTCCATCAGCTGTTTTCGTGTCTTCACCCTCCCCTAAAAATCATTCCATCGTTAGAGTAGGCATGCACAAGCCTCTTGCAAAACAACAAAAACTTAAAAGCAATCGGCGTTTTAAGTGACTCCGACTGAAATATACTCTGACACTTTCTCAGTATATTGATTTTTAATGATTCGTAAAAATATATATACAGAAAACATTTTACTACTAACACTTAATCTTATTCCTAAATAAATTAAAAATGTATGCTGAAATAATAAAAAATATAATATAAAAAATAATATAATTTCTTTCGTCATTTCATCAAATAACGAATACCCGAATTTGGTTAGGGTAGCAAGCCTGAAAAGTAAGAAAAATCAAAATTTTGTGCGCTGGCTTCGAAACGAAATCGCACGCACACATACACCCATGTAAGTGAATGTGTGACACGCATACATACATTCGGTTGATCGAAGCGCAGGCCAACCTTCTTCATCGCGCTCCGTTTAGAGACTGAGAAACAGAAAAAATTTAATGAGAGAATGAGCGTAAGATGAACGAACGATGAGCGTAAGAGAGCGTAAGAAATCCGCTCTGGGGCCTGCTGGGGCCTGTCGCAAGAAATTTTCGCGTCCATTTTCGTTGTATGAAATGGGTTGTCTATATGCTGTATGGTTAGTGGTAGAAGGAAGAATTGTTTTCTTCTGTAGAAGAATTTACTTTAAACTTGAAGCTTGAATAGTTTTGTTTAAATATATATGCCTAGTTATGGCTTAAGGCTTTTTAAAATAATATAATGACTGAGATAAATCTTAAATATTGGTTTGAAAATATTTAAAAGCTTAAAAGAAACCCTTAAAATTATAAATAAAATGCTTAAAAATCTTTGAAATTAGTTAGAATTTATAAAGAGCTTGAAGTTCTATTGTTCTAGTTTAAAATTCAAGCCTAATCGTTATGATTTTAGGCTTCAAAACAAAAATAAGTAAAGAAACAGAGAAACTTAGACAAATCTATCGCATTTATAGAAGAATAAAAGCTTTACAATTCTTCAAAACTTGAAATTAAAATTAAAGAAATCTGTAAAATTACTTTAAATCTTAAAAATCTATAGTTTTTGATTCAAATTCAAGCCTAGTAGTTATGATTTTAGGCTTTAAACCTAAAATAAATAAAGGAACGGAAGGAAATCTTCGCATTTATAGAAGATATATTCATAGAAGCTTTACAATTCTTCAAAAATTAAAATTAAAATTAAAGAAATCTAAAGAATTCATTAAGAACTTGAAATTCTATTGCTTAAGTTTAAAATTAAAGCCTAATAGTTAAGACTTTAAGCTTTAAAACTAAAATATAAGTAAAGGAACAGACAGCGGACATCGAACAACGGACCACAAACACCTGTTGTTGTGCAACACTATACCTCGCCCGGCTAGTGTTGCAAGTGGGACTTGCAGGCCAGAACTTTAGTTTTTTACGTTTCAATTGATGTATTTTGTGCATCTGTGTGCCATGTGCTTGTTTTTCGTTTTTTTTTTTTTTTTTTGTAAACAATATATGTATAGTTGTATATTAATTATATATGCTATAGTGAGTGTATGTATGTATGGCTTTATATGTTGCTTTGTTCAGTTGCTGTTTTTGGAATGCGGGGGCATGTATCGAATTGCAATTGCATTTCCCAGAGTAGAGCTCTACCTACTAGCCCCATCTCTGTCTGGTGGGGTTTCCATTTCAAGAAGCAGCCACCTGCTCAGCCACCCACCCACCAGTGCTTTGTTTGTTTGCGTTTCCCCTGCCCCCCCACCAACATCCGCACCCTGCTTACACTTGTACTTCTATTTCTATTTCAATTTCGATATTTTTTTTTTTTTTGTTCATACTAATTTCTTTTTGCAGATATTATTTAAATGTAAACAGAATACATAAGCAAATCGTTGAAATAATATCTATTGTATACCAAAACCAAACAAAAAAAAGAAAGAAATGAGAAATTAAATGAAAAATAAATATCTATGATAACAAAAGGCCCCAAAAGGCGCAGATAAAACCGATCCGCAAAGCAGCAGCTCTCAACTATCAACCCGAAATAACAATAACAATTATAACCCATGACCTAAAACTAAAAAAAAAAATAAACAAAAATAATAAATTATTAAACCAAAAATCAATAACCTAAGCGAACAGAAACACCTCTAACCCAGTGCACCTTTGCTCTGTCTGCTCCGCCGGGCAACGAAGCCTTAACAAATCAAAACTAATCGCCAATTCATATTACTATTTAAGGTAACTAACCCCTCAGAGATTAGACCAAAAAAAAACAAAACACCAAACACAAACATATATCTATTTTTTTTTTGGAAACACCCAGCACTTGGCACATCCTCCTCTGTCATCATCATCGTCATCGTGTTTCATATTTCCTCATTTTTCCATTTCCAACTCCAGTTTTAAGTTTCATTTTGCTTGGAGAGTTCCCTGGCGAACATTCCATCATCATCATTATCCTCCCATCACCATAGCCCCACTTCCACCCACCCAACCACCACCACCACCACTCGGTGCCACTTGTTACGTTTAAGAACAACTAACCCATCAGATATATATTGAAAAAAAATAGATTCTATTGAAACCCTCACTAATCTATGGTCTTATACATTTTAGGCTCCAAAGCGTTGGGCTTCTACACGCCCATGAAGGGCGGCACACCGATGGACAGCCTCTTCCAGCTGGGCATCACCCGGTACGCCCTACCCGAGAGCAGCAGCAGCGGCAGCAACTCCAGCAGCAATGGCAGCAGTCCGGCCGGAGCCAATGCCAACCGGGCCATGTTCAACGGCAATGGCAGTCTGGTTGGCCTCGGCGAGGGACTCATCAAGGATCATGAACCAAATTCGACACCAGCAGGAGCAGGAGGAGGAGGTGGAGCAGAAGCCTCCAATGGCGGAGATGGCGCAGCTGTGGACGAAGATGATTACCATCTGACGGCGACGCCGGGCGGAGGAGTCGTGTACAGCGAGGGGACACAAAAGACGGACCTGCTCTACTGATTTCCACTCACTCCACTCCACCACTCACTTACAGACTCCTCAAGAATCATTCCCAAGAATACCCATTCCCAATAACTCAGCCCCGTAACCAGCTGTTGAAAAGCTGGAAAGCTTAGATCGGTTATATATAAACAGACACAAAATCGATGCCAGGCGATATGATCCATAAAGATACGTATATACATAGATATTATTTGTAAGTCCCCGTAGGTCTAGTGTACCCACCCTATCCCCCCCTTTCCCCTGTGTATGTGTACAACAACATGGCGGTGCCGCTGGCGCATCGCCTCTGTGTGTGTGTGTGTCTTCTTTATATATATATATATATGCTTATATATATATATACATATATATATATTACATGTGTTTTTTTTTTTCTATAAATTAATAATATTATTATATTGTAATGTATCTACGGCACTGAATGAACAACCATTTCGAGAGTGTGTTCGCTGCTTCATTTGTATTTGTATTTGTATTCCATTTACGGTATTTTGATAGTAAATATACACAAAAACAACAAAAATCGACGTATTTCCGACTGTATCTGATGGTTAATCAAACGATCTGCAACGATTCAAGTTTGGCGATGGAGTATTAAAATATACATATATATACATTAAAAGTGGACAAAATAAATCCCTAGGTGTAAGCCGAGCATTTCCTTTCCGATTCTTCCCCCCCCCCAAAAAGCTCCTCCCCATCCGGAAGAAAGCAAAAGAAAATTGTAACGTTTGCCTCATAATTATTATATACATTTAGCACTTATTAAATATTTTTTACAATTGTATTCCGTAAATAAATATTAACATACATCAACATAAACAATTGTCTTACTTAAACTTTGAAATTTAAAAATGTTTGAAAAAACCGCCAAAGCTTTTCCCATCTCTAGCGTGAGTCGTTGGTATGGCAGCCCTACCAACACTGCCCGGAGTGGCGATAACCGGCTTATCGCAATATCGATAGATGATTTATTAGTGCTGCCTGTGGATGTTTTTTTTTTGTGATTGTGTCAATACAAATACACGGTTTTCTGCAATTTAATCCGCTAATATCAGACGTGGAGTTATGCTAGAAGCGGCGTTGCAAGTGACCAGCCAACAGTGCGGCCCGGAATGTATGTGAATCGGTGGTGCAGCAGCCAACTCCGCCGAAAAGCCAACTGCTTTTAACCTTAGTTGACATTGAAATGTACCCGCTTAGTGGACACGGAGGTGCGTGTGTGTTCTGCCCCACTGCGAGGGTGTGTGTTGGTGTTGGTGTGTTTGGCAAAGTGTCTGTGATTGCAAAGGAGGATAGAGGAGAAAGATAATAAAAAAAATCCGGATCCGGAATCCGGAATCCGGAATCCTTTCGTACTCAGTAGTACTCTGTCTGCCTAACTGTTTACATATACATGTGTGTGTGTGTGTGTGTGTGTGCGTGGGTGGTGGGGGGTGCGATAGGTGCGAAACCAAAACACAACCTACCTTCTTTGCAACAACAACAACAACAGCAACGGGCTAACTAGTGATAAGGAACAACAACAATAAGTCGTTCACCTACATTAAGTGCGTGTGCTACAACAACAACAAAGACTCCGTCCCCCCCTCTAGTCGACAAATCAAAACAAATTGCTTTGTTGTTGTGTAATCATTCATAAGTATTTTAATGCTAATTCTATTATTTTTGATTTAATTTTATTTCATTCTTCTTCTTCTGCTGTTCTCCTCTGGGACTCTGGTGCGGTGCCATTCAAATCGATCTGTTTGTAGTTGGCATTCGTTATTAATTAAATCAGCTCAGTAGCCGCCTCAGTCGCCGTTGCCGTTGCCGTCGTCGTCGCCAACAGCTGAGCGCAAGTGAAAGAGTGAGAGAAACCAAACGAGAGACAAACCGAGCGAGCGAGAGAGAAAGAGAGACAGTAGGCCCCCCGGAATAGGGATTTTCCATTCCCCCCTACCTCCAACAAAAAAAAAAAATACCATTCACGAAAGTTAACGGCACAACGAAGCAGCCACCAGAAGCAGCAGCAACCATCAGCGGCACTTGGTAATTAAAAAAAAAAAAATAAAAAAATCTAAAAAAAAAGTAAATAATAATAATAATAAATATAAACGAAAGTCAGATCGAGGGTATGGAATAAAGTCGACACTCATCGAGTCGCACAGTTGACGCTCAGACGTCGCCAGTGCGCCACCTTCTCTTCCATCCCTGTAGCCTCCAAACAAAATCCAAAATCCGTTCTCCGATCTCCGATACGATCCCCGTTCCCGGCGTTGGCGTTATAAAAATAGCAACGCCTTAAACGATCGCATCATTACAGCCGCCAGCCGGTAGCCCAGACTCAGTCCCATACCCAGTCCCAGTTCCATAACTGATCTTAACTTGAGATTATCATTTTGTGAGATGAGCAATCAACTAACCGGTAATCCTTTTCCCTTAACAGAGCAGTTGTTACCTCCAAAAATAATCGTTTAAGCGGCAACATTTCACTGGATCTAATGGCCAAGGACGAGGAGGATGATCTGTTGCCGGACAAGGATGCCGCCAAGGGTTTCTATGCCAAATACGAGCCCAAGGAGATTCTGGGCAGGTGAGTTAATGGTGTAGATTCCTCCCTTGCCAGAGAATACCATTTCACAACAAAAGACATCGATTAAAATTTAGTGCCAAGCTTGCATTTCTCCAAAGTCTCTTTCTTTCTTGGTTTTTTTTTGGCCCAAAAAACCATGTCAGGCCATGAGTCAGGTGGCTTGGAGCGGCGCCTGGTCCCCATATCCCCAATCATAAATCCCAAAAGCCCCTTTGGGGTTTGCTCTTGATAGCTCCGACTACGCAAATATGGAAAGTTGGATGAAGGAAAAACAAGGGCAATCACAATTACAATTACAATTAGAATTACATGACGACAGCCTCTCCTTATCGCTTGGAGTGAGGGAGAGTGAGGAAGGGGTGCCTCCTTAGTGCATTAGATAAATCACAATCATGCCGAAAACGAGTGTCCACTTATATGATTTGTTATTCACTATTCGCAGGGGCATCAGCTCAACGGTACGGCGATGCATCGAAAAGGAGACCGGCAAGGAGTTTGCCGCCAAGATCATCGATTTGGGCGCCACCACAGAAGCCGGTGAAACGAATCCATATCACATGCTCGAAGCAACCAGACAAGAAATCTCAATACTGCGCCAGGTCATGGGGCATCCCTACATAAGTGAGTCTCCTAAAATATATATCCTTTATCAAAGCCTATATCGTTTGTTTTATTTTCCAGTTGATCTACAGGATGTGTTCGAGTCAGATGCATTTGTTTTCCTTGTCTTTGAGCTCTGTCCCAAGGGTGAGCTCTTCGACTATCTGACCTCTGTGGTGACTTTATCGGAGAAGAAGACTCGCACTATTATGCGACAGATATTCGAGGGCGTTGAGTATATCCATGCCAAGAATATCGTACATCGTGACTTGAAGCCCGAGAATATATTGCTGGATGAGAATCATAATGTTAAGATCACCGATTTTGGTTTCGCCAGGCAGCTGCAAGAAGGCGAGAAACTTACAGGTATCGAATAAATCTTGGAATATAACCTATCCAGTTTAATAATTTGTTATTATTCTTGATAGATCTGTGTGGAACACCTGGATACTTGGCGCCGGAAACGCTCAAGTGCAACATGTTCGAGGGCTCACCCGGCTATTCCCAGGAAGTGGATATGTATGATATAATATTATTATTTAAGAATTACTTGCATTTAAACAGCACACCTGCAACGCATTCCCAGTCCCAGGCTATATACAATTTCTGTCAAGGCCGACATAATACTTAGGTAGTGTTGATTCCAGAATTGATTCCCATTCGCAGAAGCTCACACAAGCTGACTCTCGATTCAGAAGTCTGAGTCATTGGCTTCAAAATAAGAAATCCGATACTTGATCGGTTGTGTCAACTATTTTTCTTGGATTCAGCAGAACTGTAAACGTATAGATTTGCGGCTATAAATGGGTTTGCTGTTTAAATGTGCAACTAGTGGTTGGGGTTTTGGGGAGGGGAGTCTCCTTTTATGCTCGACCGACTGAATTCAACACCTCTTCCTATTTCCAAAAAAACAGATGGGCCTGTGGCGTGATTATGTTCACGTTGCTCGTCGGTTGTCCACCCTTCTGGCACCGCAAACAGATGGTCATGTTGCGAAATATAATGGAGGGCAAATACAGCTTCACCTCGCCCGAATGGGCAGATATTTCAGGTGAGTACTAATGGGATTTTTTTTTTAAAAGAGAATTTATGTTGAACTATAATTTCTTTTGCAGAGGATCCAAAGGATCTGATACGTAAATGTCTAGTCGTTGATCCTGCGCAACGTATCACCGTCAAGGAAGTATTAAGACATCCATTCTTCAACCAAATGGTAAGGGCCCGTCTCACATCCTTTCTGTTACCAGTTACCCTTCAGTCTACACACCATTTAGGATATCCTGTTCGAACCAGGGGCATTTATTTATCCAGCAGTCTCCCTTTATCTTCTCTAGTTTGGGTTCTAGCCTTTGTACATAAAGCTTTACATAATATAGATCCATAGATTAAGATTATTCCAACAACCTGCCCCTGCAATTCAAAAACACACTCTCTTGAGGAAAGGAAAACACACCTGTGACTCACCCACTCACAAAACAGCCTATAACCTGCTTCTTATTGTTTATCCTACAATTAAAATTTACGATATTCGATTTACGATTTACGATTTACGATTATGATTTCTATGATTTGTGATCCCTGGCTTAGCCTAACCCACCTAGTCTAGTCCCTGAGATTGTCAGTTCTATGGCCTGACAGAGTCTGCTTTGAAAAAAAACCCCCCTTTTTTAAGTTTTTTTTTTTTCTATCGATAACCGATAATTGATAGAGATGTGCATTTTAAGTTTATGTTTATGATTACGATTTTATTATACCAAAACATCTTTTTCTTTCTTCTTTTCCTTTACATATATACGTATACGTTATTTGAAATCGGTTTCAATTAATTTTAAAACAAACCAACCCAAAAAACAAAAACACGCACTCGATTAAAAAACTCGATTTATTCGATAAACTCGATTAATTCGAGTAGCTGTTCGAGCAAAACATTGATGGCCTCAAGCGCAGCCTGTCGACCAAATCCCGACGAATGAGTCGCATCACTGAGATCGCACTGGTAACGAACTGTTCCCGGACTAACCCAATCTCCCTCTCTCTGTGCTGTGTGTCTCCATTAATCGGAGCCGTAATCGCTGTAATAACGATAAACCCGATGACAAAAAAAAAAAAAAAAAACCAAAAAAAAACTATCGAAACTATCGGGGCCGGCAGTTTAAAAAAAAAAAATAAAACCCCCAATCATGCCCACTCATGCTGCCCGGCCCTTGCATCTCGTTTCTTGTTCGTTCGTGTCTGTGTTCCGTGCATTCTGTTTTGTTTTTGTTTCTGTTTTCTGTTTCGCTATGTAACTCAGCTATATATATACATACATATATATATATATAGATCATAAGCCAGCCATAATAACTTCTAACAGAAAAACAAACAAAAGAATAGAAAAAAAAACAACGTTATTGCATCCATTGATCTGTTTTGCTTGTTGATTGCAAGATGCCCCGATAACGATAACTGATAACGATAACAAACCAAAAATCCTTCTCTAATTCCCAACATGTTTGTGTGTGTTTTTTTGTAAAAATCAAACCGATTGCCCAAAAACCGATTAACTCGATAACCGATAACACCTTATTGCAGCTCAGCGCTTGCCATTCGATATTCATGCTCTGTTTAATATATATATTTTTGAAAATCTCTATGTCTGCATGCCTAAAATTAGTCCGTAGGGTCCTTGTGTTGTGCCCCAGGATTCTATATACCCAGTTCCTCCCAGACCCCACGTCCTACTCCTTGTTTTTTTTTTGGAGTCACTGCATGTTGTCAGTTAGTGAGAGAGATTAAAGGTAGTGAGATATAGATAACCATGACGGGAAGAGGTAACCTTTTGGCTTTAAAATTAATAGTATTTATGTCTTAAGGAGAGTCTTGAAAAGATTACCTCTACCAGTCTAAGGTTGTTTCGAAAACCAAAACCCCAGGCAAGGTGCATATAAAGAATATCTAAGGGACCTCTCAGGAAAAAAACCCAAAAACCTACATGTACATATCTTTTAGCTTTAAGATCTACCTATGTTTTTATATACATATTTTTTTAAGATATTTTATGAATATTAGTTTTAAGAAATGCCCCCCGTTCATCCTTACACACTTTTAATTTTAACTGATAACCAAATTTTAATTTTTCCCGCGTCTACTCTGCTGCTGCCACTGCCCTTTGAAACTGAATCTTTTTCTGAATGTATATATATATATATATATTCAATACGATATTGTGTGGGTAACTATGGCAGGTGCTGATGGGTGAACGCCGCCATCCGACGGTATCCAGTCGCTATCCCCACCTGCAGGGCGAGGTGGGGGCTAATGGCGGTACGGCAGCCGCTTCGGGCAGCGCCTCGTTCCGCTTTGGGCAGCTGAACAGTCCCGCCTACTTGTACTATGGTGCGCCCCAGAGCTCCTACTCCTCGAACCGGATGCGTGACGGCCCACTGGACGATGCCATTGCATCTGTATCCGCATCCGCATCCGCCTGCCAAGCCTCCACCTCATCAGTAAACACCTCCGCCTCAGTAGCCATAGTAGCCTCCACTTCTGCCACTGCATCTGCCTCCGCCATAGCCACCACATCTGGCGCTGCCTTGGCGTCTGCCATCTCCCACGCTCCCACACCCAAAACGCTCACGGCAACGGTCTACTATCAGCAACAGCCGCAACAGCAACCGACGCAGTCACAGTCGCAGCAGCAGCAGCAACAGCAGCTACAACAGCAACAACCAATGACGCAGCCGTTGCAGTTGCAATTGCAACAGCCAGGCGACAGTCCAGGCGGCAAGCACTCCTTGTTCTATGCACCAATACCAGTGCAGGCAGGTTTTCCTTTGATTTTACTTTTTTTGCTTTTAAAAAACATTTTCCCAAAAAAAAGAAAAAAAAGAAAATCTCAAAACGGAAGTAAAGGAAATATTACAGATATATACCTTTAAAAAGATATAGATATAAAGCTATAGGTCCAATACTATTTTTATAAAATTTTCTATTATTTTTTAAATATTTCCCTTTTCCGTTTTTGGATTTTTTTTTATAATCTTTACCTAGAAACTTCACGTATGACCTTACTGATCACTATTTGCCGATTAATTTCTAGCGCTTTTTAGTTGATTCAATTAGAGCATACATACATCATCATCATCATCGCAAAGCACACACTCCATTCGAGACAAAAACATCAAAATTTCACTTAAAAAAATAAAAAGATCTTTTTCGAAAAAATACCCTACTTTTTAGAAACCTATCTACTATCATTCCCTCTCACTCATATACGCGCCCATCTCACTCATATCGCTGTCTAGAAGAGTACGTCTATGGATCGAAAGTGATTGGTTTTCATCCAAAGGACGATGTCATTGCTTTCCAACATTATGTAACACACTTATCGGCAATAGCTAAGCTAATAGCTAAGATCGTGTACCTATTACCGCACTCTATACTCTTACTTTTATTGTATATTTTCTTATAGCTGACACTTAGTCATATCATAGAGAGTAAACACCATGTTTGTATTATATGCACCTTTCTCTAGTACATATCTCTCGGGTGAACTGGATGATATTTACCAGAACTGTATGTAGTTGACTTGCTTCCCGCCTTACTCTCATAATTATACACATAGCTCTATAGTCTTAGATATATATACATAGTTGTTGTAGTTTTGCTTTTTTTTATAACTGGGCCTAGTGTTTCTATATCTCATTAGTTTTTGTCTTCGTGTGTGTGTGTGTTGTAAGGAGTTAGGGGTAGTCGTCCAGCCTTAATGATTAACCCCAGAAGCATGGTAGTATTAGCTATAATTAATCCAAACATAGACCATTGATAGGTAAATGCAATCCAGATTGCCTTTATCTATATACATATATCATTTATCTGTATCCCCCCTCCCATATATCTGTTTCTGTATCTTTTAATATCTAAACACAACGACACCAAAAAGAAAATCGTTTCACTGATGGATTATTTTTCGTTTAATCTTCTCCACTGTTGATGATGTTATACACGTTTTGTGTTTGTGTCATGTTCTCTATATTGTCTCAGAGTCTCAACGCCCTTATAAGATGTGTGTCTATAAGTCGGTGTTGTGGAGACTCCCTTGTGAGTAAACCAAGTCAAACTGATAGATAGATAGAATTGCATATTTATGTAAAACATCCATCTAATCACTCAATATCCGATCTGTATTATTATTATTATTATTATTAAATAGCCTTTTTGTCTTGTCTAGTCCAATCACTCCTAAAACCATTAACTCTATCACCTTTGGTTCGCTTTGGTTACTATTCTGTTTTATTTCTGTGTATTTTGTTTACAAAAGACTCTATAACTAACACCTCACACTCTCATCAAACTCATACTGACCCGAGGATTAAGTTAAACTTGACCCTATAACCCCCAAATAATAACAATTCTTATAAATAACACTTGGGGTCTCGAGACAAAGTACCCGATTTGTGTATCGTTTTTGTTGTTGTCCGCAAGGATTTAACCCACTAATCCCCGCCGACCGACTGACTAACCTTGAAACACACTAATATATATATATATATATAACTCTGTTTAACCCATGGCGTGTGCACTTAACAAAAACAAAAAAAAAAAAAGAATAAAATGAAAAAAAAAATTAAAAATAAAACACAAAGCCAAAAACGAGATCAAACCGCAATGTAAATTGCAAACGAAATGCTTCGAAAACTAATCCATAACCTTCTCTTTACGACCATTTAGCTGCGGAAACAGAGTCGCTTCAACGCACGCAAAAAGTTCCAATTTGCCATATTGGTGATAAGGGCCGTAATCCGGATACGTCGTCTCCGGTATACCGCCGAGCCGCTTCACGTTGAGGAGGCGATCCGGGATCCGTACCGCGTCAAGGTTCTTCGCAAGGTGAGTTTGAATTCAAGCGAGAAAAAGTCTAATTTAATTTCGATAATAATAAGATCGATATATTTCCGATAAATGGATCGTTATTTTAGGAAGAATGGTGTTCAGAAATATTTATTAGCTTCCTTTGGAGGCTTTACAAGCCATAAGACTATAGTCTTTTTTTCGAAAACTCGAAGCTTATTAACAACATAAATTATTCATATGTAGAATGGCAATTTATCGATAAATATCGTTTTTCTGGAAATATTTCAAGAGTTTCAGGAGCTATAAGATAATAGAGGTTTCTTCTATAAGTCGTAGGCTTAAAATATAAATCATTTAATATTAGAATGAAATCTTTATCAAGAAAACAAACGATTTATCGATAAATATGATCCATTCTTGGGATATTCATGTCGTTTTTGAGTAAAAAAGTTTGCCTTTTCCTAGATTTTATCCTTAATTCTCAACATGAATAGCGGCTTTGCACTAAAGTTTGCCTTAGTGAATTAATTATTAATTTTAAATAAAACAATATTAATTAAAATATATCTTTCATCGTAGGTTATCGATGGCTGTGCCTTCCGTGTCTATGGCCACTGGGTGAAGAAGGGCGAGGGCCAGAACCGGGCCGCCCTCTTCGAGAATACTCCGCGCACCGAGCTCCATGCACTCTACATCAACAATCTCAGTCGATAGGGGGCGGTGCTCGCAACTGGGCGTGGTCGCTGCTAAGCTATTTAAGCACAAAACACACACACACAAAGAACGGAAGGAAGGATAAGCTAAAGCAAAAGCTAAAGCCATAAGTAAGCAACAACAGAAAAAAAAACGAATTAAGAAAAGTTACTAGAAATGAAACATATACTGGAGATCGACAGGAGATTGAAAGGATAAACACCAAAAAAAAAAGGACATGCCTTCGTTATCGATATCGCCTCGTTCAGCAATCGCTTCCAAAAACCAAACAGTGAAAAGCACAAAAAAACACACAGGTGTACATATGTATAGTTGTTCTCTCTCAGCCTTTATGTCCTTGTGATTTTGTTTATTCTATTTAATATTTTTTTTTTTTTACGATAAACATATAAATTTTTTTTTGAAATATCAGTTAGTTGAAGCAAAAATATTGCCAGAACGAGCCGAACGAAGCGGAAGAGAGAGACAGCCGCCACCTAACAGGAGGTCCTTGCCTCATTATCCTAACCTAAATCTAAAAGCTAAACATAAAGCTGAATCCTAAACCTAAATCTAAAGCCCCCCCAAACACCCAATCTAAACCCACACGAGCAAGCGTACATGCATATGTATTTTCTGTTAATGATTCTATTAAATTATTTAATTGTATTTGCTAAGCGTTTACATTTTAATTGTTATGTTGTAGTATACACAATAAATAAAAAAAACAAAAAAAAAAACACCAACACGTTAAGATCAAAGATCAATCGATGATAAGTTATCGATAATGGGTCGCTTAGATGTGCTTGGAGCAATCGTAGCTGCGCTCACAGCAGGCGGGGAAGTCGCGATTCGTGTTGACAAAGTCACGGAGCTTGCAGCCCTTGGGTGGCGCCACAGCGGCGCAGGTGGTAATGGTGGCATGGCCATCGCCGTGGCACTCCACGCCGGCACAAGGATGGTTGGGAGCCTTGCCAATCTGGCCAGGGGACATCACAGAGTTGGGGCCCAGGACACACTTGCCAGGATGATCTGTTCAACAATCAAAGATGAGAATAGCTATCCGTGGACGTAATATTATTTAGTTCCTGCTTACCTGGATTGGCGGCCTTAACCCTGGCAATGGCAGCCTGAGCCTGTTGTCCCTCCAGGATAACGGCCAGGCAGATGAAGACGGCGGCAATGGCGATACGAGACATCCTGTAGTGCTTCGAAAAGAGTGCTGATTGTGGAAATGCTATCGACTGGAGTGCTGGTCGGCAAGTGCTGTTTTCTGAGACCGGGTTCCAATGTTTTATACGTTATCAGGTATGGTGCCAAAGCCCCGGAATGAGACGGGGCTAATCCGACTTGACCTTGTCCAACGATCCAGCTTCCAGCTTCGACAGATCACAGCTCACAGCTCGCTGCTCACAGCTCCCAGTGATCCTACCAGCTGCCTGTTTGGCTGCTTTTCTTGTTTTTATTATTAACAATAAAAATATTATATTTTTTTTGTTTGTTTACTGACCGACGACTTCCCATCGGTTCATTGAGTATTTAATTACAATTGCCCCCACACACCGACACACGCTCTCGTTTTTTCATTCTTGTGTTAATTTCATTTTATTCAACTTTAATTTATTTATGGGCAAACACAAGCACACACACATGCACTCATTTTTTTAAAATATATTTATTATTATTTTTTTTCAGATGAGATGAGCTGAGGTGAGAAGTCGGGGAAGAGGTACCTTATCACGTTTCTTATTTTTTTCGTTTCGGCTTGGCGCCCGTCTCAGTTTGTTTTCGGCATTTTTTGTTTTTTTTTTTTGGGAATTTTCTTGTTTTGAATGTGGAATTCCTGTGGTTTTCAGAATATTATTTAGAGGTCCCCAGGGTTACTGACTCATCGCGAGGGCACTTTCACCGGCGCCGAAAGGGTCTTGAACCCATCCAAATCCCATAAAAAATATCCCATGCTAATTAATATCAATAAATATTGTTGAGAAATGTCCGGTTACATTTATGCTACATTCTGGGGGAATTTTGTGTGACAAGCTATCATAACTTGTGAGTTAAAAAGCTATTACGGTTATTAGCAATATTTGTGCTACAATATTTCCTAGGGGTACCCATAAAAAAATTGTGGGTTTTCCTGATTTCCCCACTTTTGCTTCTTCCGATGGCCATAGCTCTGCCAATTTGTATCCGATCAGGAAATAAAGTACCATTTAGTACTCAGCGAACCCAAAAGCAACTTTCCTCATTCAAAGCATCGCTTTGGTATGGTTTTTAAATTTTTCGAATTTTTTCCTAGGGGTACCCATACAAAATTGTGGGTTTTCCTGATTTCCCCACTTTTGCTCCTTCCGATGGCCATAGCTCTGCCAATTTGTATCCGATCAGGAAATAAAGTACCATTTAGTATTCAGCGAACCCAAAAGCAACTTTCCTCATTCAAAGCATTGCTTTAATATGGCTTTTCAATTTTTCGAATTTTTTCCTAGGGGTACCCATACAAAAGTCTGGGTTTTCCTGATTTCCCCACTTTTGCTCCTTCCGATGGCCATAGCTCTGCCAATTTGTATCCGATCAGGAAATAAAGTACCATTTAGTACTCAGCAAACCCAAAAGCAACTTTCCTCATTCAAAACATTGCTTAAATATCGTTTTTAAAATTTTCGAATTTTTTCCAACAAAGTTTTGTTTATATATCGATCATTTTCCAACCGATCGGGAAGCAAAGTACGATTACCGAATCAGGACGCCATTGTCTTTCGAACTTCATTATAGAATCCTCGTAAAATCCTGATCCACATCGTAAATGGCGATGCTGATCCTTTTCTAAAATATGATAGCCGTTCGAAATGTTGTTGTTGGATTTCGAAAATCCTTTGATGCAGATCGAAGAATGTTTATGTCCTGATTCCAAAATTATATTCCATTATAAGATCGGTTTAAAAAGGATCGAGATATAAACAAACCAATTTATGGAAATGAATTTCCAAGCCAAAATATCTGTATCATTCGATTTTAACTTGGCCAATACCAGATTTTGATAGCCAAATGGACGGGTCGTATTTTTCTGCATTTTATGACATCCCACAATCCGGGCTTAGATGCCAAATGGCTGAGTTATTCCCAAAAAACAGTTTAAAAAAATGGAATCCACCTTTTCCAAAAAAGCTTGGGCGGGCGGGAACTTTTTGAATTTAAATTTAAATAAAACGGATCGTATTTTGGATCCACAGGCGCGGCGGGAAACCTATTTTTTGAATTTGAATTTGAATTTAACGGATTTCGATCAACTTACAATCCACATATGTCCCACATAGGATCCACACAGGTCCCACATAAATTCCACACCTGCCCCATATGGGATCCACACAGGTCCCACATAAGTTCCACATACCGCCAAAGACACAAACCAGTGGATCAAAGCTCAATCCGTGACGTCACGGGCTTTCGAGGCTGAAAATTTTTCAGTTTCCGGCCGCTACCAGGCGCGGAGTACCAGGCGAACAGAAACAGGTAGTAGGTGGATTCTATTTTTTGAAACAGTTTTTTGTGAATAACTCGGCCATTTAGAATCTAAGCCCGGATTGTGGGATGTCATAAAATGCAGAAAAATACGGCCCATCTAAATGGCCAACAACATCTGGTATTGGCCAAGTTAACACGGATTGGTAAAGAAATTTGGCTTAGAAATATATTTCTATAAATGGATTTGCTTATATCTCGGGACTTTTCCAACCGATCTTAAAATGGAATATTATTTTGGAATCAGGACATGAACATCCTTCGATCTGCATCGAAGGATTTTCGAAATCCAACAACAATATGTCGAGCGGAAATCATATTTAAGGAAAGGATCAGTATCGCCATTTCAGGATTTCATGAGGGTCCTTTGATGCAGTTCGAAGGACATTAAGGTCCTGATTCAGGAATGGTACTTTGCTTCCCGATCGGTTGGAAAATAACCGAGTTATAAACAAACGAAATTTTAAAAATAAATATCTAAAACAAATTTGTTAGCCACTCCGTGTTAACTTGGCTAATGCCAGACATTGTTAGCCAGGTAGATGGTCCGTATTTTTCTGCATTTTATGACATCCCACAATCCGGGCTTAGATGCCAAATGTCCGAGTTATTCACAAAAAACAATTTGAAAAAGAAGAATCCACCTACTATGCGTTTCTGTTCGCCTGGTACTCCGAGCCTGGTAGCGGGCCGAAATCCACTTTTTCGAAGCCGCAAAAAAAGTGCAAGTCATTCTGAAAAATTAAAAAATTCAGAAAAAATCTGGAAAATGCTGGAAAACTCAAGAAAATTTTGGAAAATCGGAAAACCGTGAAAAAAAATTCGGAAGATGTATAAAAATACAGAAAAACTCAAGAAAATTCGGAAAAAATAGGGAAAAAAGTCCGAGATTCTAGAGGATTCCATATCTCGGACGTTTGTTGTCCGATCTGGCAACCCTGGCAACATTTTCGGAATCAGCGCTCGAATGTCCATCGAACTGCATACCACGATTTTCGATATCAAACAACTCATTTTCGAGCGATTTTTAGCAAAAATGGAAAGGCTATATACATCACGATTTTTTCCAATTTTCGCGGAAAAATTTTTTGTCTGATTTTGACAAAATTGGTATGCAATTCGATAGACTTTGGGGCGCTGATTCCGAAAATGCCAAGCGTTGCCAGATCGGACCACAAACAGCCGAGATATGGGCTCTAGAAACCCCAATTCTGGTCCGATCTGGCAACGCCGTACATTTTCGGAATCAGCGCTCGAATGTCCATCGAACTGCATACCACGATTTTCGATATCGAACAACTCATTTTCGACCGATTTTTCGCAAAAATGGAAAGGCTATACATCACGATTTTTTCCAATTTTCGCGGAAAAATTTTTTGTCTGATTTTGACAAAATTGGTATGCAATTCGATAGACTTTGGGGCGCTGATTCCGAAAATGCCAAGCGTTGCCAGATCGGACCACAAACAGCCGAGATATGGGTATATGGCTATACATCACGATTTTTTCCAATTTTCGCGGAAAAATTTTTTGTCTGATTTTGACAAAATTGGTATGCAATTCGATAGACTTTGGGGCGCTGATTCCGAAAATGCCAAGCGTTGCCAGATCGGACCACAAACAGCCGAGATATGGGCTCTAGAAACCCCAATTCTGGTCCGATCTGGCAACGCCGTACATTTTCGGAATCAGCGCTCGAATGTCCATCGAACTGCATACCACGATTTTCGATATCGAACAACTCATTTTCGACCGATTTTTCGCAAAAATGGAAAGGCTATAACCCCAATTCTGGTCCGATCTGGCAACGCCGTACATTTTCGGAATCAGCGCTCGAATGTCCATCGAACTGCATACCACGATTTTCGATATCGAACAACTCATTTTCGACCGATTTTTCGCAAAAATGGAAAGGCTATACATCACGATTTTTTCCAATTTTCGCGGAAAAATTTTTTGTCTGATTTTGACAAAATTGGTATGCAATTCGATAGACTTTGGGGCGCTGATTCCGAAAATGCCAAGCGTTGCCAGATCGGACCACAAACAGCCGAGATATGGGCTCTAGAAACCCCAATTCTGGTCCGATCTGGCAACGCCGTACATTTTCGGAATCAGCGCTCGAATGTCCATCGAACTGCATACCACGATTTTCGATATCGAACAACTCATTTTCGACCGATTTTTCGCAAAAATGGAAAGGCTATAACCCCAATTCTGGTCCGATCTGGCAACGCCGTACATTTTCGGAATCAGCGCTCGAATGTCCATCGAACTGCATACCACGATTTTCGATATCAAACAACTCATTTTCGAGCGATTTTTAGCAAAAATGGAAAGGCTATACATCACGATTTTTTCCAATTTTCGCGGAAAAATTTTTTGTCTGATTTTGACAAAATTGGTATGCAATTCGATAGACTTTGGGGCGCTGATTCCGAAAATGCCAAGCGTTGCCAGATCGGACCACAAACAGCCGAGATATGGGCTCTAGAAACCCCAATTCTGGTCCGATCTGGCAACGCCGTACATTTTCGGAATCAGCGCTCGAATGTCCATCGAACTGCATACCACGATTTTCGATATCAAACAACTCATTTTCGAGCGATTTTTAGCAAAAATGGAAAGGCTATACATCACGATTTTTTCCAATTTTCGCGGAAAAATTTTTTGTCTGATTTTGACAAAATTGGTATGCAATTCGATAGACTTTGGGGCGCTGATTCCGAAAATGCCAAGCGTTGCCAGATCGGACCACAAACAGCCGAGATATGGGCTCTAGAAACCCCAATTCTGGTCCGATCTGGCAACGCCGTACATTTTCGGAATCAGCGCTCGAATGTCCATCGAA